TACCCAGCTGGTCCCAACAAATTCAGTAAATCTGCGCTTGCCACTTGTTCAGGTTTTGCCAATTAGGATGTCCTTTGCACGTCACGAGAGTGATGAAAGGATTCTTTCTTTGCCAGTCTCCCAGGTTTTTGGCAAGTAAGTTACCAAAGAACACGGCCCAGCATGGCTGCACTTCCCTCTGGGGGGCAGAACTCACCCATGTGAGAGTGACCACCTTCTGACTTCCTCCATCCAAAGGAATGCAAAAGAAGGCGTCTTTTATAAAGCACTCGCCCTCTTCAAGTATTGCTGACAACGAAGGTATACGGGGTTTTGTACCACTGTATGAATCTCCACTATGATTTTATTAATTTCTTTCAAGTCTTGCACAAAGTCCTGAGTGCAAGGATTCTTGGATGGCAAAATGTGAGTGTGATACTCTGACATTTTCATAGCAGTGCTTACTGCATAAAAGTATTCAGCAATGGTTCCAAGCCCTTTCTGGCTTCTAATTTCAAAGGATATTGTTTTTTTTTTTTTCTTACTGGTTTTAGCTTGACTTCTACTGTGGTAGCATTCTTGGCTCTCCTAGGTTTTTTGGAAGTCCACACTAGGACTATTACAGCATCTAAAATTTCCTCTGGAATTCTGGTCCCTTGCAGTTCCTTTTCAGTCTGCAAATACAGTTGAACTTCCCATACTGTGTCCGCAGGTATGTGCAACTGAACAGACTTAACAGAAAGTGCTAGTTGAGCTCTCAAGCTGTGAAACAGATCACATCCCAGCAAAAGCAGGAGGGAATTCTGGCATGTATAGAAATTCATGAGGGATCTAGACAGGCTGATTGCTAGGCTAAGGCCAATGGGATGAGGTTCAACAAGACTAAGCACTGGGTCCTGCACTTTGGCCGCAGCAATCCCCAGGCAGCACACGGGCTTGGAGAAGAGCTCCAGTGAGCTGCACAGATGAAAAAGATCTGGGTTTTTCGTGGAGAGCAGGCTGAATGTGAGCCAGCAGTGTGCCCAGGCAGCCAAGAAGGCCAATGGCATCATGGCTTTTACCAGAAGTAGTGCAGCCAGCAGGAGCAGGGAGCTGAGTATCCCTCTGTACCTGGTGCTGGTTAGGCTGCTGTGAGTGCTGCACCTGTGGAATTGTTGCTGCAGGGAGTGAAAGAGTATCCTGAGGAGATCTCTGGTTGCAGCCGGTAACATTGCATGTAGCGACCTTCTGGTGGTTCTGTTTCTCTGCAGCAGGCTCCTCTTTGCTCTCTGCCTACCTCAGCCCTTGCAGCGTTAGCACTTCTGTGCTTTTTGTGGTACACATGAAGCCAGCAGCTGCCCGGATGTGTTGGGCCAAGCTGGGATGAGACTGGAGGTGCCGTTTTGCTGGGTTAGCATTCTGCTGCTTTTCAGCCCTTGTGTTTGAGCATCTCTAATCCAGGCGGCTTATGGAGCTGCTGGGCCGTCATTTCTCTTTGCGGGGTGTTTACCTCTGCCCCGGGCTGTCAGCTGACAGTGCAGGGTGAGTGTGTGTTACCACTCACAGTGGCTCTGCTCAGCCTCAGCCACACTGCTGCAATGCCATGTGGGGTGCAGGGCCATCAGCATGAGCTAGGGAGGAGAAAAGAATATGGCAGGAGTGTGAAAGACTCGGAGGGAGCTGAGAGGGTCTGGGTGAGGAGGTGCAAGTATAGAGGCAGTGCATGAGGTTTGATGCTGTGGTCCAAGTAGAAGCAGGGGAATTGAATTTGGCCAATCTGCACCACAGCTTCTACTCACACTGGTGCTGGTGGAGCTCCCCGCAAGCATCCTGGTGCAGCTGCTGGGGACAGGCAGGGGACAAGACATCCCTCAGCTTGTGGTGCTGCACACTGCTCTGGGAGCTGCCCTGTGAGACCCTCAAAATCCTGCCAGTGACATGCATTTCAGCAGCAATGGGTCCTTTGGAACACTGTGGTGGGAAAAGGCTCCACTCTCTCTCCTCTTAGGCACTACACCAACACTTGGATTCTCCTCTGTGCGCTCAAAACCTGCCAGCCAGTGCTCTCTGTGCTGCGTGTGAGTGGCTGCAGCTCTATGCTCAGCATTGGTTCTGAGTTTTCAGATTCAGTGACAAGTCCTGGTGGGAAGACCTGGAGTGTGAGGGTCCACTAAGCAAAGCTGTGGAGTCACCCAGGAGAATGGCTCCGCAAACTTGCACACTTAACACCCCAACTGCCCATTTTCCCCTTTTATGGTTTGGAATGAGGATGTCTTTAGGAAAAAACAGAACCAGTTATATATCTGCAGACCAAATAGCTACAGCACAGGCATTTTTGTCTAACTATAATGCTCTGTCACTCTTACAGTGTTTCATCCGTTGGGCCCTTCAGGGTCCCCTGACAGCTTTTTCTAATTCACCAGTGTTTTGCTATCTTCACTTGGAAAGCAAGAGGGCAGCAATCTCCAATGTAACAGTGACTGCAGTTACCGAAATGGTAAAGCTGTTCCTAGCAGCAAGTGGATTTGCTTATACACAAACAGAATCACCACAATTTAGGTTTGTGCAGTGACACTCCTTAGTTGTGTGCCAGCACTAAGCAGAAAACTTCGTAGACAGGTGGCACATGTCGATGATGAACAGAAACCCACTTCAGCAGGCAGGTGTAACTGGGGCTTTGGGCAGGGTTGCAGACAGCCTGTAACCAGAGATGCTGATGCACCATCACCACAAATTTAAAGATACAGAAAAAAAATCTGCATTCTGCTCACTTAAAACCCAAGGAAGCCTGAAAGAGGAGAGGAAAGGAGAAGAAGAGGGAGTGGCAAAGTGTCTCCAGCTGCCCTCCAGCTTAGTTTTCTACTGAATTACTTGTCTGACACTTTTTCTCCTCCCCGCCCCCTCCCCCCCCCCTTGCTTAGCTGTGTTTCAAACCTTCTGTTTGAAACACTAACTAACTAAATCCACTCAGAAGAAAAACACAGTTGATCACGACCAAACCATGTTTCTCATTCTCAGACACCAGTTTGTCTTGACAGGGCTCGTTCACTAACAGAGTGAAAGCACAACCCCATGCAAGTTAAAAGCAGAGAGACTGCTGGAAGTCAGGCACTTTGCCTGCAAACCAGATCCTTCCTGCTCTCCCTGTTCAGTGAAGGGCAGGGGTGCATATAGGCAGAAAATGGTGGCATTCTGGAAGCTCCTGTGTTAACTGTATACATTAGTCTTCTACTTATGACCTGGTAACACTTATTATTTTTTTTCCACAGGGCACGTCAGGTGTGCATCATGCTCTTAAACAAGGGGTGCAGTCCTCTGGATATTCAAATACTCACTTGTTTCCTGACCTGACAGTGAATTTCAGGGCTGGCTGGAGTCTCATTAGGAAGCTCCTCCACTCATACTTCTTTCCTGCATTTCCTCATGCCCTTTACCAGTCAAAGTACTATTGTTTAAGCTGTGGATGTAAAGAAATGTATGTAAAGGGCTGATTTTTACTGTGTCTCCTGAAGAGTGAAGTTCACCTAGCTCAGTGTCTGCTGTAGTCTAGCAAAGCTGTACCACAGCATTTGGCAGCACTTCCCTGCACAGAGCACCCACAGAAATGCCCTTGGTCCTTTAAGGTACGTGTGTTGTACCCACTGGGCAGCTCATCTGGCTCCCATTATTGCATATTTGAAATATCAGAGAATCATAGAATCACAGAATCCCAAGGTTGGAAAGGGGCTGCAAGAGCATCCAGTCCAACCGCCCTCCCATCGCCACTGCCGCCACCAGCACTGAACCAGATCTCACAGCTCCTCATCCAGACGCCTCCTGAACACTGCCAGGGACGGCGACTCCACCACCTCCTGGGCAGCCACTGCAGTGCCTGACCACTGAGAGAAAAAGTTCTTCCTTATGTCTAACCTGAACCTTCTCTGGCTCAACTTGCGGCCATTTCCTCAGGTCCTGTTTGTTGCCTGGGAGCAGAGGCCAAACCCCTCCTCATCACAGGGAAGTTCAGGAAGTTGCAGAGTGCAGTGAGGTCTGCCCTGAGCCTCCTCCACACTGAACAATCCCAGTGCCCTCAGCTGCTCCTCATAAGATCTGTGCTCCAGATCCCTCACCAGTTTTGTTGCCCTTCTCTGGACACATTCCAGGGCCTCAATGTCTTTTTTGTAGTGAGGAGCCCAAAACTGAACACAGCACTCAAAGTGCAGCCTCACCAGTGCTGAGTACTGGTGATCAGCTGGGGGCTGCTCACCTCCCTGCTCCTGCTGACTGCACCATTTCTAATGCAGGCCAGGAAGCCGTTGGCCCTAACAGCCACCTGGGCACACTGCAGGCTCATGTTCAGCTGACCACCAGCCAACACCCCCAGGTCCCTTTCCTCTTCACACTCATCCCCAAGCCTGTAGTGCTGCATGGGGTTGTTGTGCCCAAAGCGCAAGACCTGACACTTGGCCTTGTTGAACCTCATCCCATTCACCTCAGCCCAGCAGTCCAGGCTGTCTAAATCCCTCTGACAGGCCTCCCTGCCCTCAGGCAGATCGGCAGTACCTCCCAAATATATGTCAGGCTGCAACTGTAAAGATATGTGCAAAAGCTAAAGTGCATATAATTTGAAGAGCAGTATGTTTTAGTGTGCCACAACCTGAATAAATGGAAAATGCTACTTTTCTAGTAGCAGAGAAAGGGACATCTTCCTTCCATTGTAAAAGCAAGACATTTGGCATGCAGCTTGGTTAAATCACAGAAATTTAAGGTTACTTTTTTTTCCCATGTGCAGTCTGATACTTTGTTTGCTTACCTCTTTTCCCAAGGACAGTCACTGAAGTAACTCTCAACACAACACTGACTCAGGTCAGGTCTCAGCAGTTGGATTAAGTGTGACCCACAGAAGTAATGGCTCCAGAAGCGCCTGACCGCTACTGAGCACTGCACACCACAGCTGTGTGTAGCTGTTAATGGCAGCAACCAACAGCAAAGACAAGAACAACTCTGCTACAACACAGCCACCCTCCTGCAGCATGTCAGAACACTGCAGAAGAGCCCACATGAAAGCTCATTTATTGATGAGTAAGTGTACTTTGCTGTTTTTAGAGAAGCACCACTACTCCACAAGTGACCAGGGCAGAACAGAGGTTGTATTTTTCACAGACAAATTCTAGTTATAGATCTCTGGAACTTGTAAATAACACGTAGAATACACAGTTTCAAATCAGTGCAAAATGTACAATCAAATTAAACACAGACATATTGCAAAATATATACAGAATTATTCTATGAATATAACCCAAAGAGACAAAGAGATGTTTAAATATATGAGGAAAGCCCATCTTCTATAAATAACTCTCTTTTCAACCAATTAGTACATTAGGTATGTTATTTGTAGACAAGTTAGCACAGCATAGTGATTTGCAAGGCAGACACTGAGAAACAAGTTACACTGTTTCTGAGACCAGTGCACAAGTAAAGGTATGGTAATACATTACTAGTTTGAGGCACGCAACGTGAAAACAGTTTTTGAGCACTTGAAAGCTAACACTTAGACTTTATTTATTTATTTCCAGAACTATTAAGTGCACAAAGAGTAAGCACTAGACGATAGCTCATCTGTTTGGGGGTCAGCTTAACTCATCTTGTTGGGCCAACCTGATTCGTTGCCAATGTATTCGAACGTTCAGCAGAGATGTTATTAGACACGTAAAGCTATCTTGATATTAAAATGGCATTTGTTAGAAATCCGCTTGAAGTTGGCCGACTTAAATGACAAGAGGTGAAATGCAGTTATTTAAGCAATAACCAAGCTAGAGTCTGAGAAGAGTTAACGTGTCATGGGAGGGACACTGAAACCTCTAGCAAATGACAAACTCTGTGACACTTTACATTCAAAGCAGAGATGCTCCTATTAATTAGAACTTGCAGCTTTTTCAAGGTATTGGTTGCTACTATCTACGACATTGCTAATTCAACCACTCAAGGACTACTTTTTGGCATGTTCAGAAAGCTAAAGTTATACAGCTATTGCTATGATACAGATCCCCACAGTTTTCTTTTAAAGTAGCAGTGAAGGCATCATAAAGCACCTAAAAGTAACACAATAAATAGTAATTCTTCAAGCACCTCTTGCTACCCACTTTGGCAAGATCAGCAGCACAAAGAAAGAGATGCCATGGCTCGGCAAGCTGCAAGCATTTGACACAGGGAAGGATCTGGTTTGAGCCTTGTTTCCTCTGGAAAGCGAAGAGACCAATGTGTGGCACATCCTTTGGACAGGGACAGACAACCGTAAGGGCCAGACGTCACCAGACCTGCTGCACCCCTGCTGTCAGGCACCAGGGCAAGCTCCTTAGCTGTGTGATTTGTACTGGGGAAAAGTTCAGGCCGCTACAGCTGGTGTTTACATTTGAAACTGCTGCCAGAAGGGGATATGCACAATGTAAATGAAGCCAGATCTTCTGAAATCAAGTCTGCTCCTAAGCAGCACACTTGAGCCAGGGTGACTTGTTAAATGAGAGTGTTGCTAGGAGAGCTGAGAAGGGTAGCTACACCAACACCACTGTCTTACTAAAAATATTTTGCTCTGTGATACATCTTTAATACATTTACTTCAGGGCTTTGGACCAACCTCTTTAACACTGAACTGCTTATAAACACGGTGATAAATTATCTTCACAAAAAATAAAGTCAATCTTTTGGAAAACAAGTTCAATACAACACTTGTGGATTCATAAGACAGACTCTGTACTGTACATCAGTAAAGTCGTAACCACACGTAAATCTCTTTAAAGGGACATAGCAAAGAGTCTAAACCAAAAGGCAACTATTTTGTTAACTGTCATGGGAAGCAGAAACAGTGCTTCCAAGATGCAAAAAGGGGGCACGGCATCAACTGATGTGTGTGGGTTTACAATCAGTAGTCACTGTCCTGTAAACATTGAAGCTGCTGGACCGGCTGCAGGTTAAAATCAGTAAATTGCATGTATTTTACTGCATTCTATACACAAAATGTCCACACTGTTCAACAAAACAGCCAGCAGCAAAGGAACAAGGGCTCTGAGCTGGACCTCTCCTACAAGCCAAGGAAGTGTCAAGTCAGAAAATGCTGACATTATAAATAAACCTTAACATCACTTTCAAAAGCATTATAAAGTCAGACTAACAACCCTAAACCTTAGACTAGCAGCCAATTTGTAAGTTTAAAAATATACATGAATCTTCAGTCAGTCAGTTGTAAATACACACTGTGACATGGGGAAGGGGCCATCTCTCATTCCCAAGCAGAGCTCTTGAGAACAGAATCAGAGATGGGGACCAAGGAGCACTGTGGTCAGAGAAGCTCCTGAAGTTTAAAGAGTTGCATTCTACCAACTTGCGTTCACCATTACCTGAAAGTGCATCTTTAGATCTGCAGAATCATCCCCATATTTACATAAGAGTACAAAACACTGCCATTCTGCTACACCCTAAGCGTATCTAACTTACCTACCTAACCCAAAGACTATCTAACCTTTTCTGCTAAGTGCAAAAAGCACGTGAAGTGATATGTGCACTGAAGAACACGAGGTCACGGGCTGAAAATGAGGCGGTGCTGCCCCGTGAATCCCAACTGCTGCTGAATCTTTGCTGCACAGCTGTGAAATGGTTGGAGCAGAAGCTAACACAGAAGTGGAACAACAGCATGAGCCTATTCCCACACCCTCTGCACACATACGACACCCGGCACTCGTGCTTCTGTCACCAGTTTCAGCATAAAGTAGAGTCCAAAGGGCAGGACAGCAGCTTACCAGGAGGGGAAGATGCACACTTAGTGCCATGGTGGTACAGGAAAGGTATGGGGTGCAGACTGAAGGACTCCTGACTGCTCTCTTGGTATGAGTGCCAGGGTGTGGGCTGGTGGCCATACAACATATGGCATATCTGTACAACACCCATGCAGCAACATCTGTTCTGTCTCCAACACGAGTCCATTTTTGGTGTCACCACAGTTCATTTTATGTTATCCTCTCACAAAATGAGGTTTCACTTGGTACACAGACAGTTACATGCCAACGGGCTGTGCTACAAGGTAACATGCACACCTGAGCCTGCAGTGACATCACAGAGCTGATACAAGAGCACTATTTGCACTTTGAAAGAGACAATCTGTGCAGTACTTTGAGGAGGGTAACTATGCAGATTAATGAGCAACAGCCTGCAGCAGTTCTTTTAGTTTTGTTTCTTATTCGTATCGACCATACTACAGCTTCTGGCTTTTAAAACACTACAGTAGCCATTTCCATTGAAGTTAAACACATTAAAACAACTGACATGTAGACGAAACATGAGGAGCTCCGATAGAACACGCGCAGAACACGTACTCTGAACACAGCTGTGCTTTGGCTCTATTGTTGTCATATCGTATTGGGAAGCACACCTCCATCACATGCTGGCAGCCCAGGAGGGTGCAACAAGAAAGCTGCCCTGCCTCCTGACCACAAGGGTGAGAGAAAGGTGCCCAAGTGAGCGCTATCACAGTGCTGCAATGCAGCAAAAGCTGCAAAGCCACACTGCTACAGGACATTAATAAAGACTGCATTAAGAATGTGTGTGTATGTATACACGTATATGTAAACATTCACACACATAAACAAAGTGTTTTTGACTACAATGGAAGCATCAGAATTTAAACTACAAAAAACAAGTCTAAAATTCATGGGAGAAAATAATATCAAATTTTCTGATGCAGTACCAACATCTCAGGGATAACCTTCCAAATTTTGTTCTCCTAATCCAGGACAGAGGCAATGTATTTAAAAGCAGATGTTACCCAACTGACCACCACCCTATTTGTTTGCTGCACCAGGACACTTGAAATGCACCACGGCTTCTAGGACCTCTCTCTCCGTGCAAGGAAAGCCCAGTAGGACACCAAGTGAGGGATCAGTACTGTGTGTGCTGAACACAGTTGTGGGTGAGAAGACAGGGGATACAGAGAGGATGAAGGAGTGTGCCTGAACGGCGCAGCCTGTGCCACTTCTCTGTCTACAGCTGTGGTTTCTGACTGATCAGCACCTGTCTGGGCACCATGAGCCTCTTCCTTCCCAGTGCTTTCCTTACTGCCTTGCCTAAAGCTAGGTACTCAGGAAGCACTCATACAGCACTCCTCTTTGCACTGAGTTGTCAGAACCATACATCTGCCCACTGTGATATTAATTGTACTGCCTCATTATGTTCAATGCAAAGGCTAAGTCAAGATGTTTCATACTAAGTGTAAAGAGTTAGCACCTCTCTTCAAGGAAGTTTTACAGGCTACGGAAGAAAATATTAGGCCTTCTGAGACACCCAGAGTGATAAAAATGTAAAAAAAAGAAAAAAAAAAAAAAAAAGAAAATTAAGAAAAACAAATGTATGATCCCTTTGATGTGCTGGCCTTACAGTACCTGAAGCTGGTACAGCTTAGCAGAGAGCACAACAGAGTTTCTTCTCTTAAAAATTTTACAAGAGTTTTTCTTTCGCAACTGCTCAGGAATCTATTTTGCCTTCAAAACATACTAAGAATCATTTTATGATGCAGGGAGACCATAAATGCCAAGTGTGTTTTCCTTAAGATACATTTTCATTCCAGCGTGGCACTCATCTACTTAATCTATTCAAACAACATGTGAGAATCAGTTTATGGAAAAAAGAGAAAAGAGAAGAAGAAAACTAAAAGCCTTTGTATGCATCAGCAGGATCCACTTGGGCAGCTGCAAGAACAAGGCTGTATTTGTGCCACTTTGCTACCACAATGCTGCCCTGAGTCAGCCTTGTAACAGAGATGGAAAATCCCCACGGAATGATATGTCACAGCATGGGGCCCTCTGATTAAAATACTCTGGCCCACGAGTTCCATGTTATTTCAGATAACAGATACTAAGCAACAGGGAGACACAGCCAGGCCCTTAACAAGCCAAGAACACAAAGCACTGTCAGTTGCATGCTGCAGGATGATGTGCGTCTAGAAGAACAGCCAGACTCTTTTATTTATTTGGGCTGTAGAAGACGGTCAGTACCACAAGCTTAAAAGCTCATGTGTGTTTTCTGTAACAAAAAGTGAAGCTTTCCTCTCCATGTCTGAGTCAGCAATTAGACTATGCAGTCTTTCAGCTACCCCAAGGACAAAAAGCAGTTTCTCTGGCTTTCTGGACAACTACAACTAGCAACAACGTGTTTAAGATTTCTAACTTATAAGCCTGAAAGCACAGCCTGAAGTACAATATGTTCCTGCTGCTTGGAACGCTGGTACCAGGATGCCACAGGAACTCCAGTGGATCCTTCCTGTCCAGGTCCTGAAGCAGAGACAATCCCACGCCTAGTGATCAGGAGATGAAGATCCACACACTCTCCTCCTGCACAGTGCACAATGCACGACAGGAAAGGTTTGGCTGCTGCAGACCAACATGACTGTGGACATGGACAGCAGATACATGTAGTGCAGTACAGGACTAAGCATCTGCTCTAGTTCCAGCCTCCAGCAGGAAGCTATGAAGGAGCCGCTGGATCCTTGCAGGAGCAGCAGGCAGGTAGGCAAAGAGAGGTGATGTCAATGTCACAGAGATGAGAGAGGGCTGAACTCAGAAGCGCACACATTCATCCCAGGGGGAAGGTAAAGTCAGAGTCGCTGGGCCCACAACTGCTAACAACACCCACAGAGTACTTGAAAAAGCTGACAGGGTGAGTTTTCATGACAGGTATCATATTCCCACTCTCCTGAACCCTACAGAATGTTACATGCACTCTACAGGCTTCAGTACCTCCTAAAACTCCTGAGTGAAACTACTCCATATTCACTTCAGAGAACACTATATGGTACTTGCTTTACACTAATTAGTTACAGTCTTGGAGCTGGCTTTTAAATAGCAGCCCAACAAATAAGCAAACATGAGATAATACAAGAAAAGACAGGAAGAAAAGCCTGCTGTTAAAGATAATGCTCTCAGTGATAGAAAATAGCCACTGCAACAGTGTACTGCAATAGTGAACCAGGTATTCTTGTTCCTTTTCTACTTTGGAGTGGTGGCTGCTGAAATTCAAACGCCTTTCAAACAGGCTTTGTTACCAACTTTAACTGATAATTTACTTAAAAGCTGTTTGCCCTTCATCCATTCTGTCCACCTGCTGTTGAAATAAACTCTCTGAAATAGCTGGACTCAACTGGACTCAACTTCCTAGCACAACAGGCTTTTAGAGAAATCATCTCTCCTGTGTTCTGTATTTTCTCTCTTCTAAGGCAGTGCTGTTCCAGCTGTGTTATTCTGACTGATCCAAGGAGTTCTCTGCAGCTCATGTCTTTGCCTTTTGTACAGAGGTTACTGTAGGTATTAACTTAAAACAACACAGTTTAATTTATGGAAGGATGCACCAAGTTTTTCTATGGAATAATTTTCTAAAAGAAAAAGCAGGGAGGACGGGAAGAGTCTTTGTGAGAGCAGAAGCAGGAAGCTTGGCATCTCATAATCTTTCTTCGGCCCTGGTGGCCAAAGACACAAAAAAAAAGGGCAACAGTTTATGGAAGAGCAACCCAAAGAAAACATCTCAAATGAGGCAAGTGGTACATAACAGTTACTTGTAACAACGAGGCACTATCTCTGAAAGACTAAGTAGAACCCAGTACTATCAAAATGTAATGAAGGCACACTCATAAACAACGCTTCTTCACCAGTTGTCAGCTCGCTTTTACCGAGCTATCTTCAGTTGTGCTGCATCCATTCTGAGCACAGGTCTCTGTTCAGGTCCTCCTCTGCATGCTCACATGCTATCCACTCTCATCTCTCTCAGGCTTCCAGTTTTTTTTTTTTCTGCTTGGATTTTTTCAACATACGAACCTAAAACGCAAAGTTTTTAAAGAAAATGAAGGAGTGTTCAAATATCTGGAGTTGAAATATGTGTTCATATCTAAGTGTTCAAATATCTCAGACCTGCTAGCAGGTCTAAGACAACTAATACACGAGTAAAGAGTTGAACTGCAAAAAAAAAATAAAATTAAAATACATAGCTGAGTGAAACACCCACCCTTAGTGCTAGGATTTAATGCTTTTTACATAAATAAATAGGCCCATGTAGGTATATGTACATAGTGTGTACAGAAGTGTGTACGTGCATATCTGTCAATGGACAAGCATAGAAATACACATGCATACAGGTAACTTTGACAGTCACCAGCCTTAAGGACAGAAATATTTCTCACTGGAAAGCCAATTTAAGCTTGCATCTCTCCCTCCCCAGTCCCAGCCCTCAGGCTTAACATATTCCCAAACACTGAAGTTATGATCCTCTTTTTAACCCATTTCTTGCCTACAAGCGCCATTTTTTTGGCAGCTTTCCTAATGGGGCAATGTGGTCTCTCAGACTGCCCATGGCAACAAATTTCTGTGAATTAAAAAGGCTTCCTTAAGGTTACACACAAAATGTTGATTTCACAATTTCAATACGAAAATGAAAGTTAATGCTTAGGTAGTCGATGCTCTTTTTCTTCTGTATATACACACTGAGACACTAGGAATAAGCAGACACTAATGAACTCAAAAGCCTCTTTTTCTCAAGACTCTCCTCCCCCACTGTTCAGTTTTCTCCTTTGTTGCTTTCGGACATATCTTTCCCCCACCAGCACAGCCAGCAGACTCTTCTGTCCTCACTCACTGGAGTCCTACCACGGCCCTCATAACTACCATCAGCTTCAGGGCAAGCAACACCACCTGCACATCTCAGTAAGGGAAATAAATGGAGTCATTTGGCTGGAGCTCAGTTTCTACCTTCTTGAACACAATCCTCATCTGAGCCACTGGAGAAGGCTGTCAAACAACTCTCTGTAGAAATGGCTGTTCACTCACCCAACAATGACCACACGGTGTTGACTAGCTCTTCTGAAGTTAAGAACACAACTGATGAGCAACATAACAGACCAACATCACTGAAGGAACAAGGTCAGTTTTTTGAGACAAACTTAGAGCCATTACCTTTGGTCCTGCAGCAGAAATAATAATCTGTCCTGGGGCTTGAATCCAGGGCTCTCCATCAACTTGAACTGGAATTGGCTTTAGGAGCGTTACACGAAAATATGAGCCCTGGGCTATGCGGATGCCTGAACGAAAACCACTCTGGACTTGACCCTGTTAAGAAGTAAAAGCCAAGGTTATCAACCACCCCGATAAACAAGAAGCACAAGTATTAGCTGCACATGAACTGGGTGAATACAATTTTATTCTTACTGATATTTTAAGTTTCAAGTACAAGAACTGCTTAAGCAAAGTAGGCATAGGATGCCTTTAAGGATGCAAAATTAATTATTTAAGTTACTTTATGGACAAGAACTCAGTGCCTGCCTGCTGCCAGAGGCCAAATAACTTTACACAGTTACTTTGAACTTTCCTGTTGGCAAAGGAGCACACACTCAGAAAAGTCCTGTTTGCTTTTACTTCCCTCCTCCATAAAGTAGTAAATTAATTTAAAACACCTAACTAAGCACAGACTGTGGTGCAGAATTCCAAAATCTGAAGGTACGTTATCATAAAACACAGAGGAGCTTTGCCATACTCAACTCCATATTCGTCTTCAACTACTGGATCAGCGTTAACCACAGAAGTCAACTTTGCTTCCAAAATTTGTCCTGGTGAATGTGTACAGATACCAAACACGAAGGCCAAAACCTTAACACAAAAGTAATGCATTCCATAACATCCATGTGTGTTTGTGTCCCATGCCTACATACGCATGTAGCCTCTGAACCACACTCTTTTAACATGCTCTTCACAATTCTCACTCTTTTCATGCAGCCATGAGTTTCTTCACTTTCCATTCTGTCTGCTGTCGTCTTATATCTAAATACGGGTCTTCCAAGGAGGCTAACACACAGGCTACCAGGCCCTGCAGCCAGGAATGGGCACAGCAATTACAGCTAACTCCTGAACATCTCTTTGCAGACAGCTGATGCTGCCGTGAGCTCTGTTTATGGTCTATAACCATTTCTGTACTACATAACAAGAACCTGAACAAATAATTCTATAATAATTCCAGCACTGATGCATACCTGCTAGGACTGTTCACCTTTCAGATGCAGTTCATTATGAAAATAAATCAATCTGAGAAGAGTATATTTACCAGAGAGGCTCACTGAAATGTATTTCCTCTATTTGCAGCAGAGCGACAACCTACCATGTGAACAACGCCAGTGACACCAACAACTTCCAGCAGGCCATCATCAATGCGTGGTTTCTCAAAGCGCTCATCACTGTCAGTGCCCCAGAGATCAGCTCCAGACCCCCAGCTGCACAGAGAACACACACAGTGACCAGCCCACCTGGGACCTCTTCTCTGTCAGGCTTCAAAACCTCAGCACTCTGCTCATCTCCAGAGGGAGGGAGAAGTCGAGCTTTCCTGCACTAAGAGCAAGAAATGCTCTCCTAGAATTTGGAAGCATTCTGTCGAGGTCGTTGGGGAACGAAAGAAACTTCTGCATTTTGTGCAGTATTGACCTTCTTCATTCTTATAACTTGCTTATTCTTTAGGTGCACTGCCTGCCCAGTGCTAACCCTGATCTTCTCCACAGCTCTCGTATGCAACATATGCATGAGTGTGCACATTTCTGTATGTGTATATAAATACAAGTGAACCACAGAATTATCCCACACTGGATGGGACCCACAGGAATCACCATATCCAACTCCTGGCATATGAATGAAAAGATGAAACACATTCAAAGCAGACTGAAATCACATACAGAGAGGTTTAAGGCTAGAGCATATTTGAAAAAAAAACAGTATAGCTGCACTAATGCATTGCTGTTATTACACAAATTAAAAAACATCACTCTTATCACCAGCAAATTTAAGGAAGTCACATTTCCTACAGCTTTCCCTCCAGCTCCCTGCTGGTGTCTGTGCAGTGTCTGCAACAATGCCAGCATTTTCAGAGGTGTGGGCATTCCACAGCTATCCAGAAAACAGCATCACCAACTCCATACACATCTGTCTCCAGTGATGATACAGTTACTAATTACTGTTAGGACACAGGAGAAGGAGCAGCTGTACTGGGTTTTGCACTGGGAAAACAAGGTAATAACACCTTTTATTGGAGCACGATTGTGAGTTTTAAAGGGTCAGAAAAAAACACTGTTAGAATGGTGTTGAGAGACTCCACAGGCATCACTGCAAGCCCAGAGCTTGGCAATAACCAAAATTACACTTTAACAATGACCTGCCAGTCCACACTGTGGAGATGCTCAAAGAGAACGCACCACTGCCACATGTATAGGCAGGTACGTCTCCACAAAGGTTACTTTCTCTCCTTTTTACCTGGGTATGTTAATAAAAATGAGTCCTTCTATGTTTGGTAGCTCCACCTCTCGCTGGTCAACCTGAAGCTTTATGTCCTTATGAAGGTTTCTGGTATGGCTTATCTTCTGCAGCCCAACTTTCACATAAACTCCTTTGTTGTGAAACCTAGGAGCAGACAAGCATCATGTCAGCACACACTAGCACTGTTCTCAGCAGGTATGCTTGAAGAGTTCTTTGACTAAAAACCTCTATGAACTCTTACAGCTTTATTACAGAAAGAAAGCTAAGCCACAAAGTGCTACCTAATACATCTTTTATTTAAGAGAGGAACTGTGCTGTGAAGGCCCGTGGAGATACAGAGATGCAGAAAGGCAATGCCTCTTTGACAAGTAAACTTTTGGGCTGAAAAACTGTAATGCTGGTTAGGACCTCGGAGTCCTCATGGAACATTCTGAACTGCTTCATCATGCGCTGACAAAATAATCAAAGCACAAAGTCAAGGCACAAACACTTCTGAGTTTGGACTTTATGTATTGCTCGTTCAGTTAAGCCAGGCTCAGCTGTGGAAACTGAAAATATGCTTTGTAGTGTTAATCAGTGACAGAGCTCTATGGTATCTAATTTTGGAGTAAAAAAAGATGAGGAAGATTTTACGGCATCCCTAGAGACGTCAAAATATTTTAAGTTATGTAAACAAACACTGGTATTTTCTTCTATAATGGAAACACTGAGATATGCAGCAACCTTAAAGAGCCCTGAAATAAAAAGCATCAATTTCCATTATTTGACCCTGCGAGCACAGCGCTGTCGCTGGAATCCAACCCACAGAACATCCCTAACATCATGTCTGAGTTATGTTCATGTGGTGACGACAGCCAGTTCAGCACGTGGCTCCAAGTCCACTCACCAGGCAGAGACTGTTCAGTTCTTTCAAACTATTACACTGGGAATGATTCACTGTACATGTTAACAGTTTTAAAAAGTTGAGATAAAGATATCTGATGTAAGACCATTGGGCATCTGCCTCCACTCCAGACAAGGCCAAGAGATGCGTCTGTGCTAAAACAGGCTTTGTCTAATTTGAATGTATTAACTACAATTGAAAAATAATACAGCTAAGAAACAAAACACTTTAAGTACCACCAAGAAATCAGAACTTCAGTTACATCAAGAGAGAACCTGAGGAAACAAAAAGAATACGACAGAGAGCTGTAACTGCAGACACAGTTTTCAACTGCGTGACTGCAAAGAAAGCACTATAGACCTCAGAGTCCACGGGACACGCTGGCACACAGCAAAGAGCAAAAACTGCCAAAGACAAAAGCCTATCACTACATTCTTCTATATGCATTCCATTTCAGCTAGGAACTGTGTCAAGACACAGAGGGAAAAAAAAAAAAAAGAGAAAATTAGACTTCTGTATCATTACCATGCCAAAATCTACCTTGTGGCTTTGAAGGGGGCAGACTTTATGATTAAAAGTTAGCCAGGCTTGGGAGAGTGAACCTTGCACACCCAAATAGACAGAGATACTGCTCTTTTTTGAGTATCCTCATGTAGGGCATGATTTGGTGGAAGGAGTGCCAACCAAAGTCATCAGTCTGTTGCTAACTCTGCTGAACAACAAACTAACTCGCCCATTTGGCAGAAAGAAGCATCATCTTCTAAAGTAAACCCAAATATAGCGTTCAGATAGTAGCTGAACCACATTTAATTGGCAATATAGGGAAGACTAGTCATCTTCGAAGCACTTTATTTGTGCTCACTGGCTTCAAGGTCTGTACTGCAACGTAAGGCTCACACTGCAGCCACTGCTGTGAATTGCACTGTGGATGAGGGGGAGAGCAGGGCCTCCTGTGCAGGGTTGTCCCCATGGAGCCACGACTCTCTGCATAAGCTCGGCTGCAACACTGCACCATTATGTCACCCCAGAATTATTTGGAACGTTCTGGAGTACAGATACTGAGGTAACATCCCACTGCTCTGATTAGTGTGGAGACTTGGCCTATTCAGCCCAGGAATGGCCCTTTGGTTTGTTTTTCTGCAAGCACTGCACTACAGAAACAGCCAGCATTCAAATATGAATACTAAGAATGAAGGCAGATGCCCTGATCCTCAGTTTTACACCATGGGAACACTCTCATAAAACCTGACACCCAACACACAGAAATCACCACTGCCAAAACACCGTGCTGTGTTTGCAACTGATCACCGCTGCACTGTGAGCTACCAGACCCAGGAATGGAGTCTGGAGTCTGCAAAGACACCGCACAGCATGGCGCCAGGGTGCTCAGAGTTCTCACAACACTGACCAACCTAAGGTATCGAATCAGAGAGAGCACACATGCGCATTTTCTTCCATGCAGACTCTGACTGCACCGTCCAACATCCCCATCTTGCATGCAGCACTGCTTGTGTGACAGCTACTGCTGCATTTGGTGTTCAATCACCATGCTTTTCAGTTAATTCACTGAAAAAAAGAAGGGTGAGCTCATCTGGCTGGCAAGAGAGTGTGCATTTGCATATGCTGGGAAAGGGGAAAGCAGCAGTTTTAACAGTTATCATTACAGACGCTGAAAGGCAGCAATTGTGCCAGCAGCATTAGTCTGCAGAAGCTGCTCGTCCCTGTGAAACAATACTTCAGCATCAATTGGTAATTCATACTTCTTTCTCAGACCCTGAATCACAGAACCATACAGTCTTTTAGATTTGCAAAAAAAAAACCCCAAACCACCAAAGCGCTGTTTTTCCCACACGCTCTCCAAGATATTCTTGCACCATGTCCAAATAGGCATGTTGAAGGTCTGCAAGAGGGATATCAAGTCACTGCTCACTGCACTGCAGATGCTGCACACCACGTGATGCTAAAGATGAGACAGATTAAAAGCGCACAGGGAAATAAAGATCAAAGGATAACTCCTAAATATTGTGTCAGTAAGGAGAACATCAGTATCTTACTCAACACTTTAGGAGATATATGAGCAACATCTGCATTGATAAAACATGCAAGAACGGTGAGATCAGAGAAGATTCTTAATAGATGAGACTGGAACACTATGCAGCTGTAATAGCTTGTTCTGGCAACTGAGAGGATATTAGCTTGCGAACATACGGAGTAAAGAGCAGTCAAGAACAACTCCTATGAAGAGTTACTGATTAATTACACAAATGTGATTTTTTTCTCTCATCGGGTTCAATAATTACAGGAACAAAACCAAGTGCTGTTATTGATTCACCTGCATGCTTTTTATCAAAGAAGGGCTTGGGCTGGAAGGAATCCCAAGTATCACCAAGTTCCAAGTTTCACTAGCCAACCCTCAGATCAAGTGCTGGATCAGGTTGCCCAGAGCCCCATCCAACCTGGCCTTGAACACCTCCAGGGATGGGGCATCCACAACCTCTCAGAGCAACCTGCCCCAGCACCTCACACCCTATCAGAAAAAAACCTCCCCCCTGACATCTAAATGCCCCCTCCTTTAGTTTAAAACTCCTTTGGTTTTAAAACTATCTTGTCCTATCAAAATCTACCCATGTAGAAATTTGATTTCCCTCCTGTTTATAATCTACCTTTAAATACTGGAAGGCTGCAGTGAGGTTCCTCCTTCTTCAGACTGAACAAGCCCAGTTCCCTAAACTTTTCCTCATAGGAGAGGTGCTGCAGCCCCTGATCATCTTTGTGGCTCCTCTGGACCCTCTCCAACAGCTCTGTCCTTGTACTGGGGGCTCCAGCCCTGGACGCAGTGCTGCAGGGGCCTCACAAGAGCAGAGCAGAGGGGGACGATCACCTCCCTGTCCCTGCTGGCTGCCCCTCTGCTGGTGGAGCCCAGGACACCATTTGCCTTCCGAGCTGCAAGGGCACACTGCTGGCTCATGGTTAGTTTTCATTCCTAAGCCCTTCTCATCAGGGCACCTCCCAGGGACTTCTTCTCCCAGTTTGCATGCATAACTGGGATTGCTCTGACCCAAAGTACAAAACCTTACTGCACTGCCTCGCTTGTGACTCAGAGATATTTTAAAAATTGTAATGACCAGCATGCATGCAGATACTGCCACAGCACTGCATGAGGGTGGCAAACACACAGCGTGCAGCAGCATTGCCTTCTCTCCTGCTAAAGGCTTTCAGTGGGATATTTCCACTAACTTGAAATTTTACTGAATTTGACATTGAAGTCATTGGCAAGTAAGTACAGTGAATAATAATAACAGGGCTTCCAAAAAACTTATCTTATGTTCTCTCTTGGAACACAAAGGAAAAAAAAAGGAAAAACAAAAAGCCAAACAAATTGTACGCCTAAGAAGTTCATGGCTTTTTTAACTCCTGCCTGTTCCAGTTTTGCCTCAAGCAACATTATTTGTGAACACTTGTAGCAAGATTATCAGCCACAGCATAAATTGGAAGCTCTGGGATACTACATAACTTCCACCTCCCCTTTTCTGTTTTCCCCAGGATTACCTGCTATTAAATTTCCCTGGTTCTTCTTCTCTAGCATGATGAAAGTCCAAGCTCAACTCTGCATCAATGCCAAGACCGCAGTAATTGTTCATCTGTACAATCTGTCAAAAAAAAAATAAATAAATAAAAAGGGGAAGAATTATTTGTATTATTTCCTCAAGGCTTACATTCCTAAATGCAGAGGTTCCAAAACTCTTCAACAAAAGGAAGACCCGTAGATTATTCTTCCAAGTTATTTGCATCTTGACAAATTCAGGAACGTTTTCCAGAAAAACAGCACTAAAAATAAAGCAGTTGTTTATACGTACTGTCATTATTCCCAAGTTATTACGAATTTCAACACTTAATCTTATTTCAAGAAATGAGTATGATAAGGCAGACATAAAAATAAATGCAGAAATAAAGCCAACCCAGCTTCTCAAAGCGAAGAAGTTCTATGCAACAGCTACATATAAATTACTAAACACTAACACCACTATTATTTTTGGCAGCAACCCCATGCCACGAGTTCAGAACTTGACTTCACCTACTCAGCTGCATTTTAAATAGCTCCCTATATAACAACCTCAAGGTTCTGCAGATCCCTACTGTTTTTCCTATTGATCCTTCCTTTGTATGCCAGCTCACTCCACAGCTTTTCTATGCCAGCTCTTGATTCCCACACCTTCAGTCTCTAAGAAGCAGATCAGGAACACTCAGGGCAGACCTAAATAAAAATACCCAGAACATCAGCAGCTTAAGTTCTCTGACCCACACAATGCCTGTGACTTTCCAGCAACTACACAAAAAATGTTAGACAAGGACTACCATTATTACAGCTTTCTTTTTTCTTTTCGCTCCCCCTTCTTCTACCCAGTTTCTTGATTCTGTCAGAAAATAAACAGAACCAGTATCCACAAAAGCTCTGAAATCACCATTCACAATCAACGCCTTTATTTTCCTCAACAGAGACAAGAAATGCAAACCAAAGTTCAGGGCCTTTTCCTCCAAGAATATAAAACAGACGCTGCATTTACAGCAGCACGAAGGCAGTGTGATGACAGGAGGATTTACCTCCTCTGTATTTCTGTAACTTACAGTTATTTTTTGAGCTGTAACAAGAAAGACCACACTAGTCTAATACGCATTTTTTTGCTCAAGTTTCACTAGTCTTATGGGAAGTGTTTGGCCTCCCTTACTTGAGAAATGCATTTCTCAAATGTAAATGCAAAACAAATAGGCATGCCATTGACAGGTAAATCTTCACATTAATGTGCTATCAGATACTTTTTGCCGAGCAATAAAGAAAGGTGTTCTGCTACCAACCATCCCACCAGAACTGAAGAGCTGGATCCAGGCACAGCACTATCTTCACTAAGAAATACTAAGGCCCAAGCACAGGTAAGTGAGCAGCAGGAGATCAACCATGCCAATAACTGCATTTCTTCTGACTTCAAGAGAACGAGTGTTTCTGCGAGTCAAACCCAAGCCAAACCTCATCTCACCTTGGGGGGCTCAGGTTCTGCCATGCCATTCTCTGCACCTTCAGCGGGCTCTTCAGCATCCAACAGAATAGTCCAGCGGTCCATCAGAACGTCGTCTGCTTCATCCACAGAAACCAAGATGGAGTAGGGGTCCTCCCCACTGTAGCCAGCTCCCCAGCGCAAAACTCGTCCTAAGTCATTACCTGGGCACCAACAAAAAGCCCCAAAATGTGACGGCATTTTTAAGTTAGCTGTAAAGCACCAACAACTCCGTCAGCTCTGCTCTTTAAATAACTGTAAAGTGCTCAAAGTAAGTCATGAAAGCAGCACAACTAGACTGAAAAGTCAGTCAACCATAAAACATATCCCAGCATTACGGCTGCCTTTGTGTCACACACAGATATTCTGCTTCATTTGAAAAATTCTGAAAAACGCAAAGGAAGAAACTGTTACCAAGTCAGCACACAGCTGAATTCACAGCCCCGCAGTGCAGCACTGGTTGTCAAGGGGAGAATATTTTGGCCTCTCCAAGTGCTATCCACTCAGACATGGCCACAGCAATACCGTAGCTCCTTCTCACTCAGGAAGCACAACCAGCTGGCAAGCAGATCCCTGTGCATGCTATCCACAGCTGGCTACCGAGTCCTGGCATCCTCAGCAGTGGTTTGTCAGGTGGATACATGAAGGCAAACCTTCTGGAGGATAAGCAGGCACAAGGCCTCAGGCAGGGATCCATCTGGATTTCCAGCTGCTGGACCAGTGCAGAAGCTGCACGCAGACCAGTCAGCAGCGACGTGCTGGGCCATTGAATGCCTCTCTCTAAGCCACATCCCAGCTGGATAACTTCTCCAGGGACAAAACAAAGGGAATATTTACTGAAGACTACATGCATTTAACTTTGCGGCAGGCACACCTTCAGACTGGGTAGGAGAGATCAGATCCACACTATACTAGAAAACAAGCTTTAAAAGAATGTGGGTCAATACCTGCTGAACACAAGCTAATAGAACCCTGAGCCACGTGGGAAGATGGTTCCTGCTGTCTGCCTCCAAGCCCATGTTCCCATGTTCATTACTTAGGGCTTATGCCCATGACAGTCCCTCCTCCCAGCAATTAGCGCTCCCAAACACAACACAGAAAGTCCACGGAGAATGAAGGCAAGGTCTTCAGCACGCACTGAGCAGTCCTCAACCTAGCGCTTGTCCCAGTTCTCACCTGTTCCCAGAGGCAGGATGGCAACAGAAGGCTCTGAGCACACCAGCTTGTGCCTGATCTCCTCCAGTGCACCAAGAACCCAACCCACGGTGCCATCACCTCCGCACACCAGCACTCGGAAGGAGGGGACTTTGGAGAACGTATGAAACCTCCATTTAGAAACAAAGCCAAGGGGAAAAGAAGCGTTACAACGCAGTACAAAAAAAGCAGCCCCTACTTATGTTATTTAACATAACACATTATAGCTGAATTCTTAAAAAAGAGTGAAAACCACACTCTCCTACGACTTTTTGCAGCTGGAGACCAATTGTTAATCACTTGTTTCCTCACCAAATAGGTCAAATTGTTCAGAGTTTCCAAATGAACATCTTAAATCTTTGCAGAGGTTTTGAATTTTTTTTTACTTAGTCATTCCTGAGCTGCCAAGTGTGGAATGTTGATAGGACTTTTTGTTCATAGTACTATTTTGTTTGTTCTCACTCTTTTTGGCCTTTCATCCTACACAACAGGACTGCAAAATAATTTCTACTCACATCTCACGACAAGCAGTAAGCAAGGAGAAGCATTCTGCTGTACATCTACAGAAATACTTCATGGGGAAAGCAAAATGAACTAACTACCACAGCTGCAGTCTCAACTACGTTAGAAACATAACAAAATTACAAAACTCAGACCAAAAAGTTTGTGCAACTTGTTTAACTTGCTTCCTGCATAGGCTACATTTCTCTCTTGAAAGCATTTGTTTCGAAGGTTGAGTCACAAGAGTTCTTTGTTAAAACGCAGTGCATAACGAGGCTACTCCAAGTAGGCTGCAATCACTGCCTTCAGTTTTATGAAGTGTTAACAAAATGGTGCTGATTAAATCTAGTAATCACTTAGTGCCTCCCTGCAATCACACTACGTTCTGTATCTCAGGGTGAGAAACGCTGCAGCTGTGACTGGGCAGGCCCCGTTAATTCTGCAACTGTGGCCAACTTTCAAGAGTCAAAATAGAAAACTTTATTATACTTCCCTGTTCGTTTTCCACGGCATGTTAGAAGAAATGAAAGCAAAAATGAGCACTTTTGTAAGGCAACATGACATTTTTCTTTTGGTATCCATTTATTTACAAAAGACTACTGTTTTCAGTCATAAGTGTATTTGCATTAATTGTAGAGGACACGTGAGTTTCCTAGGCGTGGGATCTGTTAGACTTGATAAACATACATACATCGGGAACTAATCTGTTCTCTGCACAGAAAAGGAAAGTCTGTTTAAATACCAGTAAGAACCAGTCTGATTCTCTACTCTGCTGTCCAAGCAAAGAACAGACACAATTAATATCCTTACAAGAACAGAATCTGATCTTGCCTGAAGAAAAGCCATCACAAAACACCTAACAAAGTCACCATCAATAACCAGAAAAAACATTACAACATACCCAGGCAAAGGACCACCATTGGTAAGCTCAAAGACCTGATGTGGATTCAGCAGCTTTCTGAAGCAGTACAGCAGATCCCGGCCTTTCAGACCACCGCTTTTTGGATTCACAAATACGAGCAGTGGCCAGCAGTTCTGCGGGATCTTGGAAGCCTGGATGAAGGAAAGAAAGCATTAGCCAAAACCACAAGCAGGAAGGAAGATTACTACTGCATCTCAAAAGTCTTTACTGATAATTCCTTGATGCTTATGGAAAAAAAAAAAATCCAGATTCAATTAAAAAAAAAAAAGACTCAACACCCAGACAATTAACAAGGCTAGCTACTGATTTTATCTTTCTGGAAAAGCTTTCATTGATCCACTCCAACTATGCTCAAACTATTAGTTTGGCCTAACGTTAAAATGAAGGTATCACCAATGCCTTTCTTCCATATCTTCAGTAAAAAGTACATGAGAAAGAATAGTGTGAAGGATAAGGTCATTTCTAGCGGTGCTTATTGACAGGCCAAGGCACAAAGCAGAACACAAGCAGTTCCATGTGAACACGAGGGAAAACTTCTTTATTACTACGAAGATAACAGAGCACTGGAACAGGCTGCCTAGAGAGACTGGGCAGTCTTCTTCTCCAAAGATATCCAAAAACCCACCTGAATGCTTTCCTGTGCAAACTACTGTAGGAAACCTGCTTCAGCAGTGGGTTGGACTAGATGATCTCAGGAGGTCCATAGCATTCTGTGGTGCCATCCTTACACCACTGTGGCTGTCTGCTGGAGGGCTCTGCAAGTACAGAAGTGCTGTGGGCATCCTGATGCCCTTCCAGGAGCCCCACTGAGCTCAGTGCCTGCAAGCAGCAGGTGGGGACCTGATGAGACAGCCAATCCACTGCATGGGGATGATGGGGAGAAATATCCCCTCTCGACTGGTCTTCAAACATCCCATCATCCATGACTTACAAATGACTCTAGAAAGACCAGGAAGCATGAAGGCATCTTTTATTCAACCTGTCAGAGTGGTGGGTATAAACGATGAGGTGGGTATACATTAAAAGTCCATCAGGCGTTTCAGCAAGTGTGCTCTGAAACAGAAATGTCTGCCACAGTCCCTGAGCGGTGGTAATTTGTATTTACAAACTGGACAGCATTCAGGGAACACTAATTTGGCACACAGCTGACATGACGGTTCCGGGAAAAAACAACAACGGTAAAGAGAACTCAATTTAGACATGAATGATTCAAGGGGCAATGAAGAAGCAGCATGATGACAGCTTGCAGACATGTGAAGAGATCTGAACTGCAACAGAGGGAGGAGAAAGCACATAGACAGTGTGCTAACTGTCCATGCTAACTACCAGGACTGTGAACTGAACCTCAAGCTGCAGAAATGAGTCCACTTTACCAAGTAAAGGTGGGGAAGGAAACTGGCATCCACTGCTGAAATAGCCATGTTACTGCTGCATGTGAGCCAGCTCAGACACTGGAAAGCAAACAGTATTCTGGGGTTTGAATATTGACTTAAGAAATTTCCTCAAATGGTGCTTTTGTGGAGGAGCCAGGCACTAACCCTCTGCCAGATGCGTTAAGATACTGAAGCTGCATAAAAATCTGTCTCCTCTGCATCCTTGCTTGCATGAGAAGCATCCTCTGCCATCAACTGTGACTGCTAGGCACAAAGAGAAAACACAGCAGAAGTGTAATGCCAAGCAAGTGAGAAGGCTGACAGAGGTGAAACACCTTTCTTCTCTTCCCCCCCTCCTTCCTCTTGCTTTATTTTTGGCCAAAAAGAGACATTCTTGGTCTCAGACATAACTGTTCTGTGGGAGCAGAGAGTCAGGAGAGCCCAGAACATTTTTGAGCTGCTGGTGGAACAAGAGTGGTGAGACAACCACCCTCACCCGTACTGTGAAGAACAATGAGTCCAAATGGGCCTCACCTGCATGTTCAGGCTCCACTGGAAAGGAAAGGCACTCACCAAAGCCCAGTGAACAAAAACTGTAATACATTTACGCCTGCTAAGTATACGGAAGGGACCCTTGTAGCCAGTAAAGGAAATCTAAACAAAACACTGTGTGCCACTGCTGCAAAAAGGAAGCACTTCTTGCATGGCAAGGTCAGCAGCTCAAGGATGCTCACATCCAAGAAGAGGAGTGGATTTCCTCCCCTCAAGCCACCACAGGTATTATACAAACAGTAAGCAGAGGTTGGCTTTTCAGTCAAGCCCTTTTCGTGGCTCTATCAGCCACGTTCCACTGTGAAGACTCCCCTGAATTCTGCCAGCAAGGAAAGGCAGAGTGCTGCTGAATGGAAAAGTTGTTTTCCTCTCTTCAAACCTTTTTTACTTCCTAAATTTGAAAATTTCACCTCCAGTCTTTTCAGCTTGCTGAACAGGCTGTCTGGACCCTCTGCTGTGGTCCACGATCCAGACACTCGTGGTGTGTAACAAATGGATGGGTGGGAGGAATAAGGAGGAAAAAATGAAATAATACTCAGCTGCAAAGTAAACAAAAACTTTTACAGTGAAAGAATCAGAGAACAGAAACCAGCCCAAAACTTACACCCAACACCTTGCTAGAAGATGGATAAGAGCACTTGATTACCTTCTCTTTCTCAAGAAAGTAATTTTTAAAAATCCTGGTTGTGGATTAGAAGAGATACCGTAAGCACATGTCTTGTACTGCTTGCTTTTACAGACAGAATCCACACACTGGGTCTAAAAGCAAGCAGCTACAACCACTCACAAAGAACCTTGGGGAACTGTGCTGATTTCTGAGACGTGGTGAATCCCAACACATTCAAAAGCACAGCTGTGTTTTGGAAAGTCATACGAGACCTTACTCAAGCCCCATAACATTGCAAATACGTATTTACAGTTTCCACAAACCTGCCATCTAAATTCCATAGTTTCCAAGTGTCAGTACTGTACAAGAAAAAACAAAGGGCAACATCTATGCCGACTGCTGCTGAAAGTCACAAGCAGCAGCAAAGAGCGCCTGGAGCAAACAGGGTGCCTGCATGCAGCATACACTGAAGAGCCCTGCCACACAAACACAGCCTCCTTCCAGTATCTTCCAGCGTAAATCCCCAGTTACAACCATTCTGGGCTGAAAGCGGCGATGCAGACTGAACAAAGTATCCTAGGAAGGGCAGAAGCCTTCTCAAGCGTCACCCTTATGTTTAACTTGCTTCTCACCACTGCTTGTGGTTGAAGGGCTAAGAGGAGCTGCTAAATCCCTCTGAAGGACCAACCTGTAAGAAAACAGCTTTTCTGTAGGTTAAGAGCCCCAGAACAAATTCCAGGCTTGCACAGAAGATCAGAGCCGCCGCAGCAACGCCTGAAAGGCACAGGTCCCATGGAGAGCTGCGCTCCGCTCCGCGCAAAGCGGTGCGGGATGCTCCGAGCTGGGACGTGTGACTGATGCTGAGGAGCCCCTTCCTCGCTGTGCTGGAGGCGCAGCGCCTGCAGAGGAGCTGTGTGCGGGCAGGCACTCAACAGGGAATTCACCGCGTGTTTCTCAGAGGCCGCCAGCAGACGGCGTGTGACTGAGGCACTCTGCAAGGCACTGCACACTGCTCGACTTGCCAGGATCTGCACCGCGCAGCTCCGGGCTCAGCAAGATACCTACTAGTCGTGCTAATCCCCTCTGTGCTGCACATACCGTGCAGTCCTATCAACCACAGCAGGGAACAAGGCGTTCTGCACCCCAGGCCAGTCAGATCAAGGCCTATCTTCCAAGCTGCTTCCAGGAGCTACAGAGGTCACTCAGCAATGCAAAAACCAAACTTCTGCAATAAGACTGCCCGCAGCACCCCCCACATGCAAGGACTCCTGCTTCCATTCCTCCAGGAAGGAGGGCTTGAATCTACAGCCCTAAGCAAGGTGTCGGTGCCATCGGGGCAGCAGCTGTGCCGCACTGCAGCACCTCCACCAGCTGCTCCTTATCTTGGAGGAAACCAGAATGTGGGAAGTAACTCCTTGCAGGACTGTGGCCAGTTGTGATCAACAGCTGCTGGCAGATGTGACAATACCATGGAAGATCTGGGCTGGCTCTTTAGTAGGTGCACCAAAACCAGTGCGAGTACAGCGTGCACTGGGGATATCACAGACCAGCAAAGCACAGAGCAGATGCTCAAATGCTCCTTTACTTTTGTGTTTTCGTTGCATTTTAAGATGGCTTCTTCTGTTTCCTTCATCTGAAGTTGTAATTTGGAAAAATCACTGAGTAACGAAAACACTGTGGCCTTTCATTTACTACCAATTCTCCTTCTAAGACTACAGATCAGAACTTCATCCCCAGTTTCTTGGTACCTCATTCACAAGATGAACGACAGAGCATACATCCTATTACCCAATTCTCGTGAAGGTATTTCCTGTTGCTGCATTTAAATGATTGCATACATACAATACAAACAGGGCCTGGCAGTGTTACAGAATAGTAAGCTGGAAAGGACCTCAGCTGCTCATCCAGTCCAACTGCTATCACAGCAGGATCGACAACCACTCTTCAGTTTGCCCCGGCTAATTAGCAAACAGCAACAGCTGCGTGGCCTAAGCACAAACGGATGGCACTTGAAATGTTAATCATCTTTACTCTTGGCTCATTTTTAGTGAGATGACAAAGCATGAGTGCTCCAAAAGTAATGCTTCCGATTTTATTACTTTGGCCCACGACAGAGGCAGATGTTAGTGGTATGGCAGCAGAGGTTACACATTCCCTCTAAATTTTGTTATCGTGACAGATATCAGCAGAAGGGAACGGTGATGTGGAAAACAAGCCATATTCTGGACAGCTATGCACAACTCATCCCATGAAATGAATAGCAACTCAATTAGCTCATCCAAGCAAACTGGTGGTTTACGACCATGGAACTGTGCAAAAAGCTGAGCAGCAGTGTGGCAGCATGAGTAGTATCCCAGAGTTTTTGGCAGGTGAGTCCCACAGTGCTCACAGAGGAACAGAAGGAACATCGTATGCAAGTCTGTCACAACCCATTGAATGAATGCAAGTTGAAAGTGACATTTTCCTAGATCACTCCTTTATCAGTGACAACAACTGGTGTCACCTACAAGAGCCAGAGCCAAAACAGCAGTCCACAGAGTGGTGACACATGAATGCCCCATCAGAGAGAAAGCTTCAGCTGGAGCCCTCAGCAGGTAAAGTGATGTGTGATGTGTTTGGGATAGCAAAGGGCTGATCTGACTGAGATGAAGGGTTGAACTTCCAGAGTCAAGCTGCAGAAAAATACAGTTTTTCTCTTGCAACAGTCTAATACCAGGCCCCACAGCAGTGTGAGGTACATTGCCAACCATGGTGGGACTGTCCTGCTACCCACTGCATCGTCTGGATTTGGCAACTTCTGACTTCCATCTGTTTGGGCTGATGCAAATATGGTTTGTATGGGCAACATCCTCCTAGCAAGAACACTGTCACAGCAGCTATGGAATTGAAGAAGGGAGGGTCAGCTCCACTGGTGCAGATTTTTATGAGCACAGCATTCAGGCTCCGGTTCATCACTGGCAAAAATGAACAGCTAATGATGGTGACTATGATGAAAAACAGTGTTTTGTGTCTGAGAATTTTCTCTATCAAATAGTGTTGATGTGCTCTTTGTATCTAGTTGTAGAAGCCATGAAAATAAATAGCAGGCATTACTTTAGGAGTGAGGTATGCATAAAAAGGATGTGCTCAAATAGAAAGAAATTGTACGTGTACACATACAGCCCTTCTCTCCTTCCATATCAGAAATTCATCCACTCAGTCCCCTCAAACAGATTTTCTTAGAAATAACTTGTATCAGGTAAATGATAGCATTATCCATGTTTTCAGTTCGACATATCTGATGTCAGGAGTCCAGACACACAATCAACAGAGTAGATAAATTCAACTTCACACACTGTACACCGCATGTAGGCTCGTCTCTGTGCTTCGCTCTTTTTGTTCTGCTCCCGGTAACAAGAAGAGTTGAAACCTACTTAGAAGTAAGATTTGTTTCTAACTATCTCACAAAACATAACACCCACATAATCACCCACATTATCACTCTTCTTTTGGAGGAGGGGTAGTACGTCATATTGCCAGCTAAATGTAAGCACTGCCACTAGCATTTACTTAAATAAAAACACTAGCCACCAGAAAACTCTGACAAGCACAGGAGTCGTAATATAGTAGGCATGTAAGCATGCAGCTACCAGCCTTGCTATTGCTATTGCACTTGAGATCCTCCCACCTGAAGCTATGTCAGTTCCCACTGCTGTGAAGTTTTCATCCTTCTGTGAAGTTTTAAACAAGGCAAAATAAGACTTTCAGTTCTTTTGCCATAGTACAACTCCAGAAAGACAGAAACTGCAAGATGCTCAGCAGAAAGCAATTAGGGCTACACTGACTTCTGGACAGAACCTATGTTACCTGAGTTCAAAATGACTTTGCTCAGTGAACCATTTCCCTCTCTCTATCCTGAATCTGCTTCATTAATACAAAGCCTATTAGGAAACCACGGGACTCACAGGAAAGTGAGCCGTAAACACAGAAACATATGGAAATCAAATGTGAATCTATGGAAGGACTCTTGCACAAAGTCTAATCTCTGCATGAGGTGCAAATTTTCTTTTGGAAAGAGGGTTTTTTTTTTAAACTGCTACAGAATTAAGCTAAAACTATTCCAGCCTTTTTGATCTTAGAAATAAATACGAGAAAAACGAAAATTCTGTTTTTCTGCCCTTTACAGTTTCTGTACTTGTGCTCACAGCTCTTCACAGTTCAATAGCAGGACAAGTGACTTAAGTAACACACACATCAGATGCACAAAGTGCAAACGCTCAGTATTATTCCACATCCCACTACTTAACTCAGGTCCTCCCCTGAAAAGCAAACACTTTTGCTCACTTCCTGAGAAAGGAATTGTGAAGGCAGCATTTTTAGTTTGAGACACGAGTTGTAAGTTCTGACATCTCTTACCATAACTTCTGGAATCACCACAGCATTCAGAGGCTTGTCATTGACAGTTGTATCCTTAACTAGCATATATATTCTTTCAGCTTCAGAAAAACATGAAATTTCGAGTACAACAGCTCCTGTAAAGACATGTTTGGTTTTTTTGTATTTCTTATTATTAGACAATCAACAGTGTTGAATCACAGCAAATGTTTACCCAGGATATTTTTCAGTACAAGTTACTCTATAACATTTCTGGTTGTTATTACCATTGAGATGGGCTTTCTGTTTTGTTTTTGAAGCTTTCCTTCCTATCTCCAAACACATGCCAGATTTTTAGCAAGCAGCAGTTTGAGGACATGAAGAATTTCAACACAGAACTGATACACATTTGAAGACCTCCCCTGGGATTTAAAAGTAGCACCCATTTCCATACACTGCATTACTTAACAGCCTGCTTTCAAGCTGTGGAAGTGACAAAACCATCAGATTTCCTTTTCTGTCCTTTTTAAAAAATATGGCAGTACCATTCGCTGACAAGATATCAGCAGGAATTATCAGAAGCCAAGATCTTATCTGAGAATCATTTTAAGGCTTTAAAGTTAGAACTTCCACTGGACAAAGAGAAGCAAATGAAAATAAAATACTGGGAAGTTAGTTCAAAGTAAGATACTCAGTGAGGGGGTCGGGCTTTAAAGACATGGCAGGACAAAATCAAAGACATAATGGACTGCATATGAAATGCAAGCTAGCAACAAAATTGGCTGCTATGACAACCAAAAAATGAGAGTTAGAAAGCATCAGAAACAAAAATATTCAGAAAGTGAAAAAAACTCACCATTTTTACAGCAATAGAATACACACTGGCAGTAACATCAGAAAGAAAAACACATGCAGGCAGGTAGACTTGGCTAAATGGAGCAGTGAGATGGGCTCTATTACAGATAAAACTATTCTCTATTCACAGATATGAAGAGAAGACACAGATGAAAGCTTTATGCTCTTCCTAATGAGAAGTCAGTATTTACTAACTATGTGGAGATAGCAAAGGAAGCAGAAGCCAGCCTTCAAAACCACGCCACAGGAAGATCCAGTGAGCAGTTATGTGGAAGGTAAGCCTCCCAGAGCACACGGACACCAAGGCCTGAAAGCTCAGGAAAGAAACTGCACGCTTTTCTTTGTGAGCTGCCCCAGATGCTGACCCACAGCTGACTGCTGCAGTAATGCTGCGCAGAGGCAGCGCTTCAGCAGCTCTCAGCAGCCCTGCCACTCCTCAGCCAGGTTACATCCGTACAGCAAAAGCAAAGCAGCAGCTCAGAGAAGCCTGCTCCAAGGAAGAACTGCTGATTCTCTTCAGATTTCCAGCCACTGGATCCCAGTTCAGTATTATGCTGAGCTGTGATCTGTGTCAAACTGACCCACCCAGCTAAAGAGCAGCACCAATTTTAGTGCTGCAAAGACAGAACGGGGAGAAAGCCCTCAGAAGTGCTTTAGGAGCACTGCTCAGCTCAAGTGGGACCTCCAACCTCATTGTTATGAGAGATTATTACCGCTTTCTGGTGCAGGTGGCATGAAGCTAACCTTTTATTAATAAGGTAACACTCATCCCCTGCTCTTCATAAATATAATGTGTTAGATTTCATCTGTAGGGCTTTTTGCTTATGAAGCATGAGTGAAGTACTCGGAGCTTGAAGCCTCTACTGTAAGGCTGCAGTTTTGAAAACAGACTTTGTTTGCAATACTTAAAATCTTAATGCTTACCTTGTGCTTGATAAACATGACTCAGAGATACTACGTTTGCTGCAAAGGGCAAAAATATAAACACATAAAACCTCGGGTACATTTAGAGTAAATATTTAAAATATTTTTAAAAGTTACACAAATACAATATAAATAAATACTAAAAGTTATACAAATACGTAGGGAATCTCCAGCTAACACTTTCCCTCTGCTAAGTTTACTTTGCTACTTAGAAAAGCTAAACTGATTTTCATAAAAGATGGGTATGTATTATCCCAGGCATTTAGTTTAATTCCTCCTGAAGTTACATAAAAAATTGGGAAAAACGCTTCTTTTCCTGAAACAAGAAGCTTGATATTTTCCTGATACTGTTTACAGAATGCGTGGTTGACAGAGCAAAATTAATTGCACTGCTTTGAAAAGGGAAAACAGATTCTTTTCACTGGGTGCTCGCCTGTACGTGCACACACAGAGCTCACGTTTCTCTGTCACCAGGGACAAAGGGCATGGAGAATATGGAGGACAGCTCATGCAAAAAAATCAGTCAATACTGCTAAGGAACATTTACGCATGAAGAATTAAACTGCACTGCTATAATTTGCAAAGTGTAAGGTATATTTGGTCAACTTCTAAAAAATGGTATTTTCACTAAAAAAAAACCTGGTACAGTCACATATAACTCAAGTCATGTAGCAATCATCCTTTGAATAATGAGCTGTCAGATCTTTTGTGCAGCCATCAGCATGCTAATATAAGTAAAAAGCTCCCTTCAGGGTAGCTGGCAGACAGGTTTTTTGTAACAGAATCACAAGGTACAAAGAAAAACAGTAAGGAGCAACAGACACTACTTCACAAAAAAGCTTTGTGTATAACGGGGAGCAGATCTCAGATCACAGCTGTTTACTTACTTTTGATAGCTAATTCATCCTTGAGAATATTCATGTACTCTTCAGGGGAAAGCAGAGGTGGGAGCCCACCAACAAACATATTTACTTGTACAGCAGCTTTACTGTTCTCCACTATGTAAAACCTTGTTTGATTCATCTGGCGTACTGAAATCTGCCAAAGTAAAAAATATATACATACGAATGACATGAAATTTTGTGAGCAGGCAACAAAATTCCAGATTCTTCTGTGCTTAGTGACACAGCCTCTACGGATGGATCATAAACAGCAACAAACTTCAGTCCAAGCGTTTGGCTTCTCTACAGATGAGCCATGTGGGACAGTAACTCAGCACTATTTTTCTTCTGTAAGAAAGGGGACACCCCAGTTGCTATAAAAGAGGGATTTTTCTTCTCTTTCAGATATACCTTTCTTATGTCTTCGAGTCTGTGTAGAATCAGCTCCTGATTGTCCAACACCATGCGCTGAACTAGAGACAGAAAGAACACTGGTCATGTTAACATCAGGCTCAATTTAAACACACAAATACATCACCAAAATTTGAGGGAGCATTCAGAACATGGCGTACACCTAACATCAAGGAATATGCAGACCTGAGCCACTCTTGTCCAGAGACAAACCATGAAGGTACTGAATTTGTTCACAGCTTAGACACCTTTGTCTCTGAAGACATGCAAAAGACAAGCAATCCTCTGTTACGAAGCCAACTGCTAGACACTGGAAGACTTTAAAACTACATTTCCTGACAACTAGCCAACAATTCCTGAGAACAACCAACTTCCATACTCTACTGAAACATTAGAACAATTTCAACAACTTCCAACTGAAGCAAAGCTGTATCACCAAATCATAGGTGGTCCTCAGATAAGCTGATGATGATGATGATATGATTTAAAACAGAGCACCGGAAACTAACCAAGATTCACAAGGCTACAATAACTTTGTAGAACTGAATTAACTGAAAAAGCTAATAAAAAAAAGAAGGTGAAGCTGTAGTTCAGTACTTGAATCACAGTGATATTTATTCGGGGACAGGCAGAATATCTTTACACCACTTACAATCACAGAATCCTTAGAGTTGAAGAAGACTTTTAAAGGCCCCCCCGTCCAACTCCCCTGCAGTGTACATCCACAGCTCAATCAGGTGCTCAGAGCCCCATCCAGCCTGACTTTGAATGTCTCCAGTTATGGGCATTCACTACACCTCTGGGCAACCTGTGCCAGTGCTTCACCACCCTTACTGGAAAAAGCTTCTTCCTTACACCCAAGGTAAATCTGCTTTAGCTTGAAACCATTTCCCCCTGTCCTATCACCGCAGACCCTTCTAAAGAGTCTGTTCCCTTCTTTCCTGTAGCTCCCCTTTAGATACTGACGGGCTGCTCTCGGGTCACCTCACTGCCTTTATTTCTCCATGCTGCACAGCCCCAGCTCTCAGTCTGCCCTCAGAGAGGAGCTGTTCCATTCCGTGGGTCGTTTCTGTGGCCCTCCTCTGGACGTGCTCCAGCAGGTTTGTATCTCCCCTGTTCTGAGGACTCCCCATGCAGTGCTCCAGGTGAGCTCTCACCAATGCAAAGCAGAGGGTCAGGATCTCCTCCCTCGCCCTGCTTGCCACACTTCTTTTGATGCAGCCCAGGGTATGGCTGGCTTTCTGGGCTGTGAGGGCACACTGCTGGACTCTTCATTGGCACGCCATTGCTTTATTATTTAGTTACTTCTTTATACACTTCACTGGCTTTATATCTCTCTCCGTGACACCTTACAAATAAAGGAATGCAGCACAAACAGGTGCAAATCTGCATAATATCTGCAGGTTCACAAGCTTGTTGAGCAATGCTTATACTGCATTTCAGTATTTCACAAGGCACACAGATACTCCTTGGACTGACCAAAAGAACCTCAAAAAAAAGTGTCCTTTGAACTACTTCAGGACTTGAATTTGGTCTCATCTGAGGGCAAGCGCCAAGACAAAAGAGAAGGAAGGGAGCAAAATAAATGTTACACATAATCTTTCCTATATAACTGCAGTTAGGACATTTATGTCAGTTAAAGTTAGCTTCCCAAGACAAAGTTCAAAATATTAACATCCATCAGAAGCTAGTAATTAATCTCTGCGTGATGATGGAGAAACAGGAGGGAACTGTATGCCCACAGGACATGCATGACTGAAAATAATCACCATCACTTCCAAACAAGCATTCCAACGTGATGGTGAAATTTCATTTATGACGGCAGGTATTTAAAAAAATTAACTAACTGTGACTGTGTTAAAATAAGTGCTTCAAGATCACTTACAGATGTGCCTTTGGTCAGTGCTCCTTCACTTACCTTGCTTACTGCCCATCAGCACTTCAACCAGCTTGAAATTCTGGAGGCACCCTGTCTGCCAAAAGATGGAGCACACAAAAAATACAAAAACAGTTTCCAAACACGATACAGTTTTGCTTGGTACTTACACATTATGTTATCCACAGCGCACACAAAGAATGGAAAATTAAACATTCTAAGATCAATCTCAATTAAAACCATCCCTAAGATAGTCCTTCTGATTCAGCAGTCTCTCGTACACGCTGTCAAGCCGCTGTGTTCTTGACTACACGGGCATTCTAACAGCCCTATAGAGAAAGAACACCCACAAGGCACTGCTAACACTACTGGCTCAGCGACCAGCAGCCCTGCTAGACTATATCCACAGTGTATGTCCAGAGCAAGCGTGCAGGACAAGGAATGAACCTGCTCTTTGAGAAGATCAGCCAGGCACCAGGCTTGGCAAAAGCAGGCTCCTCAGCCTTCATCTCTTGCAGCACTCCATCGGCACTGATGGAAAGAATCTCTTCTTACGTGACACGTCTCTCCTCCAAACTGTACTGCCAGCACTGCAGGGAACACCTGACTGCCTCACAGTTAGAGAACAAAGGCCAGAAGTTCAATCATCTGCTAGGGTTACTGTGCCCTGGAAACACACGACACTCAGGACTGAGCCAATCTCCATTTTAGTATTGGAGACTCAGAGGATGAATGAACTTAGCTTGCATGCCGTGGACTAAGATATTAAAAGTCTCACCTATTACTCCTGATTTGCCTGAAATTTGATGACAGCTCTTTGGAGAGGATCTTCAGTGCATGCAAATTCTGGATATTAAAAAGTCTTTCCCTGTATGTACTTTCATATAGACAACAGAGAACCAACAGCATCAGAGAAAACTGCAAGTGCTCCAGAGAACTAAGTCTCTCACAACTGCAAACTAGCTTCCCAAATATAGAAATCTGGAGACATTTTCCAAGCCTAGCTATCACATCCATTCAAGGCCAGGCTGGATGTGGCTCTGGGAAGCCTGGTCTGCACACAGCAGAGGGGTTGAAACTGAATGATCATTGTGGTCCTTTTCAACCCAGGCCATTCTACGATTCTGATTCCATCTCGTTCAACTTATGCTTTTGTCCAGAGGTTTCAGACAAGAATTTCCAAGTTCTGTTAGAGGGTCTGCAACACCTGAAGAAAACCACTACAAACAAATCCTAGGATCATCCTGTGATGCAAAACAAGTGCTGCCACGTACTTCACAGCATGTACACAAAGACAGAGGTCTACCACTATACCACCAGCTCCCAACAGCCAGCCATGTGCATGCCTCAAAGTGCCCTGTGAGGAACTGAATGCAGAAGATGATGGTTGCCCTCTGTGAGCACGGCTGTTCCCTGCAGCAGAGGAAGCCTGCTGATGGCTGCTGAGCTCACAAACTGCTGAATGCAATGCACACACTACAGATTCGTGTCTCCACAGCTGTGTGTTTGATTCAGACTGACAGTGCTTTGGCACACTTACAAGTTCTACCAACATGTTTCACTAAAGCTGTACTGTCTCGGCACCAACCGTAAAACAGGAAGGCTGAAAAGAGATCATATTGTGTGGACAACGTGTGCTTTCAAGGGATACAAGATGCACGCAACCATTTTGCATCGAGGCTGGAAGGAACGCAGATGGCAAGCCTTGTGGCCATTCAGCCTTGAGGTGATTCTTTGCAGAGTCAGAGACAAACACAACTGTCAAACACAACAGAGTCAGAGACAAACACAAATTTCAGCAATGATTGCTGAAATTCCCCAGCAAGATAAGCAATGTATTTATATAGACCTGTATTTTAAGTATTTAAAGACATATGCAGTCAGAGAAAGTGCACTGCATACATCAAAACTTGTGTTACAGGTAGATTTGTTTGACTGGGAAAGATTGACGTTAACTTTCAGCATAGAGCAACTAGGTCCACCTCTGAAAGACTGAAGGATCCACAGAGGATTGCCTAGAAAGCACTAACAATATCAACATTAACAGCAAATGGAGCAATAAGAATCCTTCTCTGAGGAAAACATGTACAGCCCACCTGAAGGTCACCCAGGTGACACAGAGATGTGTTTATTATCTCGTATTTACCTGCCTTCCAAGTAATGGCAGAGCTTCTTTGATCACAGTCTGTGTAGTGCTATTCTTATTTACTCGAAGAGAAATGTATGCCATTCCCTCCCTGGAAAGAAAAAAGCAATACTTACACTTCTCAGGACAACAATTTCACCTAATTGCACACCCTTCTTTTAACTAAATGGCAAATTTGCTATGAATTAGTTAGAGATTTGCTTTAAATGAAAATGTTCTTTAGTCAAATTCAGGATCAGCCACATTAGACATGCACACACTTTAACCAGTCTTTAAAATTGTAGCACTGCAAATGAATCTGTTCCTATACACAGAACTAAACGAAGGTCCGAGGTGAAGTTTGGCAATGTAGTTGCAGTATTAAAATGAGCAAATGTTTACATTTTATTTCACTGCTTTTAATAAATAGGTTATCAGCTAGTCTTCGCTGCTAAAAATGCTTAAAATGCTTAAAATGTACTTGTAAATGTAAATACACTTTAAAATGCTTTAAAGTGTCAGAGGTAAATGGAACAGACATTTTGCCTTTAATTTTTCCTCCTGTTCTCACATTAGAAGTTGTACTAAATTCTTTGTAATTAACACTTCTTACACAAGAACATCAAGCTGTCAAACACTGTGTATCTGTCCTCATTTGTTTGCAGACGCACTTAAGGTAAAGTTCCATCGCCTTGGTGAAATGCACAGCAACAGAACTGAACATAACGTGTTCTGTGCATCTAAAAGAACCCACGAGCAGGTTTTCATGCACTGAAATGAATACTGTGTATACTTCTTTTTCAGAAAAGCAAGCAAGAGAATCCTTCGGTACAAAAGAAAAAACGACACTGTCTATTACACTAATGAGATCTCGATGACTGAAACTTGCTGTGCAACTACAGAGGACAAACGTAGCTAAGGAAGGCAACTTCAGAGTAATAAGCACTCACCACAGCCAGGCAGGATAAATTCTGATCACCTCCTCATCCTTTGGTTTGGCTCTAATAATCCAGGCTTCGGGAACAGATTCTCGGAATACTAAGCCCAAGTTGCTGTCTTCTGCAGCATCATTCCTGTTGATAATGTCATCAGACAGCAGTGCCTGCTGCGTAAAGGTCTGCAGCTCATACTCCTGCTGGTCATCATTTATATAGTATGCTCTCAAAGCAGCTTCCTACAGCACAGAAAGATAAATTATCATATCCATGAAATGGCACAGTAATACTCATATCGCCACTGATGTTCATGAATACCCTGCTTGCAGAATTACAACGTGTTTTAAGCACAGAACAATAGGGAAAAACAACAACAAAGTTTTGAAAACAAATTTCTGTGGGAGAAGTCAAAAGAAAAACTGAGTTACCAGAGGGAAGGAATCAGTGGAAAGCACCGACCTGAGCACAGTACTTTCCTCAAGTGGCAGTCACTTAAACTCCATGCTTAAAAGCAAAATTCAGCACCAATAAGCAGGTGCAGTGCAGGCAAAATTTACTCCACAAGGAAGATGGTAAGTTACACTGCATTTTGCACACACACTCTGCAGTGAACACAGCCCAGTAAGTCTTTTAGGAAAACTGGCAGTAATCTAATCTAGAATTATATGCAGCAGCCTGACAAAATGTGCTTAAAAGTAGCAATCCTAAATAAAAGTGCTTCCAACCTGCTGTGAAATTTTCCGAGGAGACTATTGATGTAGAATGTTAAAAGTGATTTTCAAAACTCCCACTCACTTTAAGCACACTATCAAGATAACAATTCCAATGAGCTTTAACCTTCAGCAATTCTGGGGCAATGCATTCTACAGACTCCCACGACAATTGCTTTATGACCTGGGAGTCCTCATCCTTCACCGGTGCAACTCCCCATACAACCCCTGGGCTATGCTCTGCACAGCATGGGATCTCTGCTTAGCTATAAATCAAGAATACATGGCTGAGCACAGTCATCTTTCCACCCAATAAAGAACACTGAAACAGCTGCACAGTGGTCATTATGCCATCAATAATTCACTACTTTCACCATCAAGCAACAGATGTCAGTGTTGAAAGTGCAATGGTGGTGGCTATGCAGCATCAACTTCAAACAACTAGTGACTTCCAAACTACAGAAGAGGAATGAGATCTAAGGAGCTGATTATCTCGTACACTGTACATGTATCCTGAATACATCCAGCTCACGTTAGTAAAATCAGACTTTGTAACAGGAAGGAGAAAGACTGCTTAACAAGAGATTTTCTGCTGTGTATGCTGTAGGACTCATTATGCAACAGACATCTAGACCATATCTACAGACGTTTTACAATAATTACATGAAGAAACCAAATTACGTTACAATATTCTACACCGCTTAGAGATTTTGCTGTTGAGTTACATTTGTACAATATTATGCCTTTGAATATTGCAATATATAAATTATTTGCTCCTTCATGGCACTGCAGTATAGACCTTCACTGGGTATCTTACCACAACTTCTTCATTTTTTGCAATCCTTGGAACTGAAATCAGTCGAAATTGATTGCGTTTCACTGCATCACTCCCATCAAATATCTTTAACGTTTGTTTACCTGAATGAAAACAATTATTGTATTTCAATAAGTCACCCCTCAAATCACAAAGCTACCTGCACAGGAATCATACAACGGAACTATTCAAAACCAGCTTTTAACCCAGCTAATTGCTTTTTCATCACAACTTACAAGCCTGAACTTCTTTGTTCCGTCGACGCGCGTTTAGAACAGGTGTACAATTATGGACAAAATACAGAAGAGTATTTTAAGTAACAGAAAATGTATCTGGGTTTTTGTTAAGAGACCACAGTGCTTATCTCATCGCGTTTTCATTCTTACCATTCATGACTGCCTTTGTTATTGACCAGCTCAACAGTGTGAAAAACAACACCAAACCATCACCTTCCAAACAGCTCCCACAGCACTGCCACGTCAGACAGCATCCCTCTGAAGGAAGACTGAAATAGCTGGTCCAGGTGACATGAGAAAGCAGAGGAACGGCACGAAAATGAGAAGAAAGCTGAAGCAACTGGAGCACTAGAGCACTTGGCCGTGCTGCGTGTCACGGCAGCCTTACGAAGGCCCTGCTCAGAGCACAGGGCGCAGGCTGTCAGCAGATGCCTCTGAAGGGGTGAAGCATTAAGGGGTGCAGACTGATCTTCCCACAAAGCTGAGGTAGGCCCTGCTCTGCCAAAGTCCACCGTAGCACCAAATTTTTGTCTTATTTCTGCGAGTCTTTTGGAAGCAGCAGTAAAGCGTGGTCAAGTTGTAAGAGAACAGGCAGCTCCTGAGCAGCTCGGAAAGCGAGCGAGCCTGAGAGTTCACAGCAGAGCTGGTGACAGAAGTCCCTCTGTGTGCAGTAGCGTGACAGAGCTGATCTCGTCATGGAGCTGCACTGCGCTCACCATAAAGCAGTACAGCTGGCCAGAGCTGATGACTTGCAGATCTGAAACGCTCAGAGGCTGGACAAAAGCCACACGGCTGGTTCGTCGTGCAGCCTGTTAATGCGCGCTGTGATGGAGTTGTACCTGACGTGGAGTGCAGCTTCATCTTTCACTTTCAGCCTAGGATGTTTCATGGTCCTGAAAACCTCATGTTCTGATTTAGTACTGGCATGCAGGTGTGAAGAGCTACACTGTTGAACTATGTTTAATGGTGAAAAAGGAGAGCTGGAGGAGCAAGTTAAACAAAATAACAACAGCTCATTGCTAGGTGGTGGCTGGAAGAAGCAAGCAAGAATCCTGGGCAGAAATCCACTGTTGTGTTTCTCTGTGCTGTGGTGAGGGCCTCTTAGTAAAGACTGCAGCAAATTACTGCTTTGCCAGAATGCTTCACTGATGCCCTGATAGCATTCACATACACTGTGTCTAATAGACATGTTGGAACATCCTGACTCACAGGACATCAAACAAAGGTTGCAGGATGTTTCCATGTGTACTCTGTGACTCCCATCGAAAGCAAACACTGAGAACAAAAGGTTCTTCCAACTTTATGTTTGATAACAGCATGTTTTAAACAAGATTCTCACCCTGAAAGAAAAATCCCACTGACAAAGATGGTTATCAGACTGACAGAGGTCAGTCTGCCTTTGCTTAGCCTTGTCAAAACCTCATCTGGAGGACTTCACTCCAGTCCTGTGGTCTTCAGGACAAGAAGGACATGTACTGTACCAAGAGCAGGAATGACTCATACAAATGATGAAGGGGCAGAGGAACAAAAGTATTTCTCATACGAGGAGAGGCTGTGCGTGTCCTCAGTGGAGAATGAATGCTCAGGGAGTCTTATCCACGTGTTCAAGTTTGTAACACAAGAGTGTCGGTGTGAGCAGAGAAAAGGCCATAGACAGAAACTGCAAACATTTTTTCTTAGGTTGAAATGCACTGTGAGACTGGTAGAACACTGGAACACGCTGCCTGGGGAGGCTGTGTGTCCCTGCTCTTGAGGATATTCAAAACCCAACTGGACACTGGACATCATTCTTTGTTTTCCAGTCACAGCATGGGCACATGTAAGCACTATCGACTCTCACTTCTGAACCATCCTTATAAGTCTACTGCCACTGCGCTGACATGGTAACAGATGTTCACAACTTTTTAATAGCAAAAAAAACCGACCTACTCGTTTTAAAGCTGCTGGATTAATGTCAGAAAGAGTGAGATTATTTTAGAAACAGATATCTGCCACAGTGATCTGCATGGTTACTGCAGCATGGACAGATTGTAACCAGAAGACACTGTGTCCCGGGTGACCTGATCTCGGGTTAACACGACTTGAGAAAACACAACAAACATGTTACTGAAGCACAACCAATGTTCTGAGCATGACCTTTCATAACACCATCAAGATCCCTACTGTTTTCTTTAGCAGTCCAGATGGTAGACAACCATCTGAGAATAAAAACAGACATCCAAGTTTTCGTACTTGTTTTCATTCAATCTGCCTTTGTAGTCTCCTTGTAAGATACGTCCTGACAGAATCCTCAGTAATTTTATCTGGAGGTTTTTATGAGCTTTCCACTTCGTCAGATCAGACAAACATTGCACAGGGCTGTCTTGACTCAAACTGACTTGCAAGGAAGAATTTGGATCTCAAGTGCGTTCCCCTCACTGCAGCTCTGCAGTACGCTCAACCATGCCTTCCTACAATACAGTTACTTATCATATAGAACAACTTCTATTTATGAGGACAAAAAACCCACCTCTAACTTCTTTTTCACTGTCCTCCTCACTGGGGTCACTTTTACTACAAACTGAGGAAAGCTGGCTTTCTTCTAGATGGGCTTCTGGGGACAAACAAAAAGCTGAACAGCTTCTTATTTGACCACAGTCACCTGGAAAAACATTTCTCTACTAATTCAAGTGCAAATCCACGTCGTGACTGTTACTGGGGTGTCTTCTGTGAGTCTGTATACATCAAACTAACCTTGGACAAGAAGACCAACTATAATCACTGCTATCATTAAATAACGCTCTTTCACTCTCCTGCTCCAAATGTGAAGTTAAAGAGAATGATAAAATTATGTAAGTGAGGTGCACGTCTCACCTTTTAGTACTAAAAAATTATTGCTAATGCTAATATTGCTAATAATGAACAGATGCATTGAAATGTTATAATTTCAAGGAGTTACTGCCTAACTTATTAATATTTCACTGAAAAACACTTCTGCTTTAGAACTTTCATGTTTTTCCAAATGCACTACACTAACAATACAATGTCTTTTCTCTGAAAAACATGTTATTTATTATTACCTATTATTCTTATGGACTAGCCCCAATAAGCAGCCGTGTTCCACAGGTTTGCTCACTGTGGAAAACAGAGCATCATCTTCAACTCAGCCAGAACTCTCAGCTGAAAAGAAAAGACTGCTCTTCGTGATTAGCCTTCTCAAGGGGAAGACAACTACAAGGTCAACTCCAGGCATAACTTACCAAATCATGAAACTAGTTTTATAAGGCCGAGGTACTGGAAAAAAGATAAATAGCATTTCATGACTCGTATCCCGTGACTTAAAAAAGTCCCCACAGAGGGGACAGCCTCTGAAAAGACTGACGTGTGGCTCATGGCAGAGAGCTGAAGATGGCAGAGTTTTTGCCCTTCAAGAAAAATGCAGGCTTAATATCAAATGTATTGGTGGAACTTAATCTGAAAAGAGAGAAATTCTAGCTTATCAAGATCCATCCCTCCAAACAAAGCATGTGCTGTCTGCATGCCTTCTGCTCTCATGCAACACCCATCGCATGTGAATTTTGGGCTGTTTCGTTATTTCCACTCAGAGCCTTTGAGGCAGCAGTAAAACAGGTATGAGACCTGTTTTTGTTTATTATTATTATTTTTCATTTTATTTGGCTTCACAAGACACTACAGAAGAGTCTTTCACTGATTCTTTCTTTTTCTGGATGCTTCTCCAAGAAAGCCACCAACAGGCTTGCCGCTTCCCTGAGCCAGTTTTCATGATCAGCTCAGACAGTTTCACAGCAGATCTGGATCGCAGAGCTGTGTGACAGACACTCTTTCATGTCCGCAGCCAACTGCTTACCCGTTTCCTCCAAGAAGGTCTTTAGAACTTCTCCAGTCACAGCTGTACATATCAACACTTCTGCTGGTTTCACTTGTCTTCCTCTTCCACTGCTTTAGGGCTCCCAGCCCATTTAAAGTGGATGTCAGCAGAACATGGGACAGATACTGGAAGTTGTTTTAGCAGAGCCCAATGGCCTTTTTTATGGCAGCTGCACATTTTGCTAAGCATCTTGAGAGGAAAAATCTTTGAACACCCACATGTGCTGCCCTTGGTCACTGCTGAAAACAGTGTATTCCTGCATGAGAACTACTGCAAAGGCTTTCTCTGCTCTGTCAGTAGGTTTGGGAGAAGACATTAACAAGCAGTAAGTCAGTGTCTTGGCTAAAACCAATAACAGAACATTGCATCCCACTTTGGAACACTATCAAATGACTGACACAAAAAAAAAAAAAAAGAAAAAAAGAAAGACAAAAAGAGGGAGAAATAGCACTAAGATCTTCAGACAAGCCTTGTCACAAGGTCCCTTAAGACAGGTAGTAACATCAGCTAGTATTCTCTCCATACCCTTCTGGTAATGATGACACAGGGAGATTCTACAATATTCCCCCTTGAAGATACTTGCCAGAAAACCTCTTTAAATTTTCAGGAAGTGTGTTTAGAAAAAAAATGCTTGACCTCCCTAAAAAAAGTATCGACAGTAGTAAATGTTTTGACCACCAGTCAGTAAGAGACATCAATGGTGAGAGGAAAACACATTGAGCAAGAGAGGGACAGGGTGACTGAGGGAGAACCAAACCAAACAGGCAGCAAAGCTGGGGAGCAAATGTTGTTACTGGGGAGGGAGGGGAACTGGGAGATGCTAGTGACAGACAGCTTACCAAAAGAAAATACAACACTCAGAAGTCTCAGAAAAGGCAGACAAAGAGGGAAGAAGAAGACAGAAAGATAAGCACTGTCGTGGAAAAGTGAAACAAAACAAATGTAGCACATGATTTTTCAGAAGACTTGTTTTTCTTTTCCAAGCAGTTACAGGCAATTCAGCCAAGGAAATCAACACACACAACCTTTTCCAGCATTCAAGCCAGTACTTCAGAAAATCTTCAAATGCAGATTAAGGAAAACTAACTCGAGAAAGAAAAGTTTTCACCGTGACATCACGTACAGCATTTCAACTTGTAAGTTAATACCTCCTGAAGTACCATCAAACATAGAGGAGATGGAAAAACATCATCAATCATGCAGTACCTATAGTGGCTAAGCTTTAAAGTAAATAAAAGCTGTTGAGGCCTTACTATATGGAATTCAAGTGTCCTCAGTGTTTTATTGATTACTGGGAAGCAACCACGGCAGAATCTGATGTCCTTCCACATTCCCAGATCCCTGCACATTGACACAAGCCTAAGAGCCTGTAACGACTCATTTTTCATGTCAGGAGCTTCTGAGGTGGCTTCTCTGGGTTCAATTTCTTGCACGTATACAACAAGCCACTGCTGCTTTTTATTATTATTATTATTATTATTATTATTATTATTATTATTATTACATTATTACATTATTATATTTTCCCTCACTATGTCTTCATATTACCATGAAATAAGGTGAATGAGTTTAAAGCTTGCCTCAGGCTTCTTGAGCCTGACAGGACACATATGAGGTTGAAACCTTGGTATGCTTTTGGTTTCAGTATCTAAGTTTCATGATTGACTTAAAATATTATCAATTATCCTACTACAAGAGCTAAGAAACATAGCAGATAGCAAGCCACTAATTCAAATTTTTTTCTAGTATTAATATAAAGACTTTGCACCTTTTCCCACTGGTTTCTTTTCTATGGAAAGAGCATGCCTTTGCAGGCCAGTACTATCAATACAATCTTATTTTCAGTGCTTTTGAAAAATAGCTATCTGCAGAACATGGAAAGCTGGAATTAAGAAAAGCAACCATTTGGCAGAACATAATCAGTTCAGACACTCCTGGAAGACAGCATGGTAACATTCCTAAACCTGCAAAACACACTGTGTCGACACGCAGAAACTAATGGATGGCTCACTCCAGATTCATATTGCACAGTTCTTGTTGTGTGTTGTCTAGGAACAAGCAGAGAAGGTCCAGCACACAATGACCATGGCTGTTTGGTATTTCAGCTGATTGGCTTTGACTCCCCGCATGCACAATGGCAGGCAGGCAAACCCCAACAATTTTGTCAGAGAAGTTAACAGAGAAGGCAATCCCTACACCCTGATGCAAAGGCATCAGCCCCACACCTCACCAGTTGAGATCACTGCCTATGGGTGTGGAGGTCTCCAACTGCATGCATGGGAAGAGCACTATGGGGCTGTGTGAGAAACACTCAGGGGATGGACCCCTTGAGGAGAAAAGAGGGACCGAAGTGATGTGGGGAGGAACAAGCATGGGAAACTAGAGGGATACGGAGATAAAAGGTGCTGGTCACACATCAAGAAGCTGCAGATGGGTGCTCTTCATAGCCTGCACCTGGATCAGCACGTTCTGTCCTGTCTTCTCATTAAAGGCTCTTTCTCACTTTTGGTGTTATGGAGCTAGGTGTTATGCTCTTCTGTACGCATGCGTTCATACATGTTTTTGAAAACAGCAACTGAGTGGGTCTGCAGGTCACTGTCACCCACATGTCCACAGTACCCAAAACCCGAGAATGGGTCTGCAAACCAACTCCAAGCATCAAGCAGGACCTACTGCCTGCAGAGTGAGCAGCCTGGGAGGAACGAGTGCAAGTGTCTCAGTAGATAAGGCACCTGGAGATGACAACCACTGGAGAGGGTCCAGGCCAACTACTAGAGAACTTGGGGGTGTATCTTGGGGATCCACTGAGAAACCTGGAAACATGAAGTTGCAGCAGCCTCAACTCTGTGGGGGCATCAGATTTGGAGGCCTCTAGCACAACTGAATGGAAGCTTTCAAACATTTCATCTTTTATTCCCAAATTCTTTAAGGAGATAGCTCAACAGGGATGGAATGATTCTACTTTCTAAATCCCAGCAAAGAGATTAGGATCTATGCTGGTGTCTTTATTATGAAAACACATTTAGAAGTGGTTTCCTTTAAGAGAACTATCATATTTAAACATAAGGAATGATTCTTATCATTTTCAAGGCAAATGTACCATCTGTTGCTGCATTCTCCAGTCCATAGAGGATACTTGAACCAAAAGACATAATCAAGGTTATATCCAGTTCAGCTGGACATCAGGGTTAAACCAATGCAATGCTGAAGGCCAACCATGCTCTCTTACTTATTAGTCATTAAGAGACTGCAGCTTCAGACACTGAAGTAAAAGCATACTTGAGATCACTGAGCCATAACTGAGTTAACTTAATTTTTTTAGTCCAAACAACACTTCCAAATGTAGCACATTACCTGTGAAAGAGCTTTAAACAAACAAATAAACGAAAAAAAAAAAAAGAGGATACAACCCTGTTTGTTGATTTTGAATTTCTACAGCAACCCAGGCAGCTGCACCAGGTAACAAGTATCATGCTTTTCTGTTTGCTGCTAATAATATTGGGACTGGGCTGCCCCTAAAATCACGGCTGGCTTCAGCATCTGAAAAGTAAAGTTTTGACTAATACTAAGCCCAGAAAATATCAGAATTACTACATTTACAAAATGCATTGAAAGGTGCCAGCCTGGCTCAATCCTGCTGCAGGGGAATACGTTCATTTCTAGTACACCATGCCTGATCAAAGCTATACGTTCACCTGGTATCTTCAGTAAGATTCAGATCCAGCTACCTTCAAGGAAGAAGTTTTGAAAAGTTACGATATCCGGACTTCAAATTATTTTCCTTTGTCTGGATTTTTAACACTATTCCTTCCTTAGTTGGTTACCACGTTGAGTGAGATGGCTAGCTGGGATTTATTCCTTTTCAGAAGTAACTTAGTGCTGAAGTACAGAAGAGCAGAAAGGAAATTCAGGGGAACTAAATTTTGTGGCTGATTTGACAGGGTAATGAACAGATTGTCACTTCTGGTAATCTGCCAGTGGAAAGCAGAGATGAGATGGCAGGAGCCCTGGATGTGTGCTGGACCTCGAGCTGATACCTGGCACTACAAGAATTCGCTATTAAATATTTTTCATAAAGTAAAATCAATTAAGATTAAATGAGTTAAAGACCACAATAGGTGAAAATTTACCACTTACTGTAACTGTACTTACTTGAATCGGTTGAAATTTGGACATCTTTTGCTGGCCCCTGTGTGGACCCATCAATATCATCCCCTTCATCTGTGAAAAAAGGAAGATTGTAAGGGAGGACTCCTTCTTATCTGAACCAGGTAAATAAAAGCTGCTTAAGGTTTCCACAGAAGATTAACACAAAAGAATCCAGTCAGAAGAAAGCAGCTCCTTTCCTTCTGGCTATTTCAGAATAACAATCCATACCATGCAAAGTCTTAATAAAACACGACCCATTGCATTGCTGTGTAGCTACAGTGAAAGCATACGTGAAGTCTTCCCACTGTTAGCTCTCATACTGCAGTGTTCCACCCCTTCTTCTGATGTGACATTTGCCTATTACCAAATTACATACAGCAATTCCATCAGTCAGTTTCAAATCTTGACAAATCAGTGCAGGAATTGTAGTTCTGCAGGAACAGGAACTGTAGGAACAAAAGCCAACCCAAGTGCTGATGGTATCATGTTTTTCATTCTCCTGCCTGTGCAAATTCTCAGCCTGTCTTGATTGGGCTACAAGCCAGGCAATAACTTTATAAAAAAATAGGCCTAGAGGCAGAAAGCAGGAAATTGAGGAACAAAATAATGGGGAAAAAAAAAAACACAAAACCAAACACCAAAACATGAAAAACAAAAACGCAGAAGCATTAAGCTAGAACTTCAGACCAATAAAGGTGTGAGGGAGATGAGAATCCTAATAGAGGAAATCCTTCCAAGAAGCAGAATTACAACACGTGAAAAACAGTACTCAGCAGGAGCCCTGGAGACCAAGCAACCCACAGAACACTTGGCTAATGCTTCAACAGACGCTGGGAACAGCCGACAGCAAAGCATTTGAGCTGGGTTTTTTACGTACTTTTTTCTTTAATATGAAAGTAACTGAAATACTTTCCTTGTTTTCAGTGATCTACGGATGAAGTTTCAAACTGGAATGCTTTATACAATTTCACTGCAAGCAAAATCAAACTTCAAAAAAAGTGAATGAGAAAATAAACGAAAATAATTCCTGACCGCTTCCTACTCTCTTATTTTTTCTCAGGTTAGGTGGAAAAGAACTGGTATCTTCCTTTTATGGTTTCTTTCTCAGTCCATATAGCAGGGAAATCTACACAAACAGCAACGTGAAACTGTTGTAATGAAGTTCTCTGAACACTTCTGAAATACACTAAGGCAGGAGACTTGTGGGGCAGGCACGGAATGGCACGCATGAAACTTCAGTCTCAAATGGAATCTAACATCAGATTACATGGCCTTTCCCCTCTCATCCCACGGTGAGTTACCATTATGGTATCAGGCTCTTTTCTCCTCCTTCATAAAGCCCATCATCTCCTCTGAGCTGCTGTGTGTGTGAGAAGGAACGCAGAGGCTCCAGCACGGATGCATCCAGGCTAACAGACACCAGCGATCTCACATCACTTGATTCAGCATTAGGCTTGGGATGAGAAGGGCCTCTGAGGGCATGCTGACAGCTGATCAATCCATCCACACAGCATTACTGTACAACAGCATCAGGGCACTTCTCCTTTCCCTCCACGCTGTCCCTGACCTGCGAACGGCTGATCTACGCAGCATTCTTCTGATTCAAAGTACTAGATGCACATTTTAATTTAAGGAATGCAAACAACATTATTACTACAATACCTCGAATGTGAATAATAAAACCCGTATGTTAACAAGTGTCCTCTACACTGAAGTGAAAATCTTTCCCTTTCATCACTTAAAATAATGAAGGAGAAACTAGAAAGCACAGCTCTAGCCTTGGATGCTTCCCATCATGCTGGTCTGTATTCAAGTTTCATTTAGGAGTGATTTACAAATTAAAAAAAAGAGCTGAAGTCCGACAAACTAAAAGAATACACCACTGTTTCAAAGATAAACTTGTTTATTATCACAGACACCAGACCAAAACAGGCTGTTAAAAAGGCTCTTGATTAACTTTTGTTAATAATAACAAACGTTCCTTCACTAAAGCTTTTGGGAGACTTGTCAAATACCAAACAACACACAAATCAAGATTCGTAAGGACTTTCCTAATATAAACGAGCTCATCTGGATTATTTATTTCTGGTATTAAACTGGAAGAATTAAAGACTGCATCGCTTCCAAGTACGTACCGTACTTCCCCTGGTGAGGAGGCAAATTCATTAAAAAGAACGATAATTCTCTGAGAGAAATCAGGCCCAGCAAGAAACAAGCCAAATAAGACTCCCCCTGGCCCTGCACAGTCTCACAGCTCATTTCAGTGTATGCACACTGCATAGGCTTAGCGTCGTCCTGCAGGAGCATCACTGCTGCTTTACCTTCTGAGTACAGCAGCACACGGTTCCTACAGCACATAACTGCCAACAAGCACACTAAATGCAACCCCAGAACGGAGTTCGAAGCAGAAAGCTCAAGAGCAACCTGTCAGACTGAGAAAAGAGCAGCTGCAAACATCCGACTTTCAAGACCTGTATTTTACCTACTTTGTGTATTGTATTCAGAAACAGAATCAAAATATCAATCAAAAAATACTTCAGTGGTTCAAAAGAATTCCCTTGATCCTAAAGAGCTGTTAAACAAACATACACTCTAGATGGCAGCAGAACATTACCCTGCTAAATACATGACTTTCAGCACAGAAGCACTTGAAGAGAGGCAAATAACAATATTCTTACACATGACAAGCTAAGTAAAAAGCAGGTATATTGGCAAGTGTTTATGCAAACAATAATCTGCTAAGAAAATTTCTGGAGTTTAGATTTTTACTTTCTGTATGCTCACTGCTGAAGGAGCAGCTTTCCCATTGCCCTGCGGCAGCAAACAGAAGTTTCAGCAGTTTGCACACCATGCATTTACAACCCCTACCCTGCCCATCACATCAGCAAAAAGCTATAGCACTGCCAAAGAATCAGCAAAAATCAGCCATCGTGGGCTCCGGAGGACTAAAGCACCAGGTTAACCACACACATCAATTAGCTGCACGCAGCTTCAGAAGCTTTTACCTGATTCTGTTTGCAGGTTTTCTGATATTCGAAAGCAGTGCAGCTTGCTGAAGTTGCGAGAAAATAACTGCACACAGCTCGGAGGAAGAATCATGTTCCTTAATCGTCCAAAGGTACACTCTGGTGAGACAACTACGTAGCAAGCAGCATGAGCCTGTGAACAGGAGCATCAGTTAGACATCATCTGAAACACCAAGAAAGCGAATGTGTATGTAACAAAATATGTTCTGCAATGGCAAAAACCTGGCGAGGATGTTTACAGACCTTTTGTAAGTCACTTTCTTGACATCAGCCATTGTTTCACACTAGGTTTTAATTCTGTTCCATCGAGTTGTTAAACGAGGAACGGTGGAAAGTTTCAACAAGTGAAGAAACTACAAGTATGACAAATCTGCTCTGTTGCAACCTAGTAAATTTTCAGACAGATATCTGGAAAAATTAGAATTCTGATTTCAGGCCGTGATCTTCTGTCCTACACGGATGCTTCCTGAGGTACATGACAAAGGCAGACAGCTTAAACTGAAGAACTTTTAAAGAGCAGTAACCTGATTTTAGTGTAAGCATATAGGCAACTTGCTGGCAAGTACTAGCTTGCAAAATTCTGGGGTAAGATATGTTTGAAGTTCTATTGCAAGACACATCTGGCCTGCTTCTGTCTTTTTCATTGTCCTAGGTGCTCCACTACTGTTGAGCACGCATGCCCTGTAACTGTGGCCATGCTGCGCATCACGTTGGTGAGGCTGTTTGCAGAGAGCTCCTGCCACCTCAGAAATCATGAATCAGATTCCAAATACGAAAAACGCTACTTTTAAAATAAATAGATAAATGATTCAAATGATATCTGAAATATTGCACAGCGTCAGGCTTCCATTTCAAATGATTGCCACATCGTGTGCCTCACCCTGCATTATATGACAAACTGACTTAGTTCACCAGATGCACATCTCGGTTCCCACCTGCATGTGGTGCTAATTTACACCGCAATCACCTTTCAACAAAAGGTAGTATTCAGTTGAGGGACTAATTCTGATCTGCACAGCAGCTTGGCATTCATGAAGGCTACTGAAGGACACAGTCACACTGCAGAGGAATCAAGCATCAGTGGTGTGGAAGGAAAAAAAAGACAGAAGCTGGCATTTGCTACTGAAAATGAAATTCCAGGTTAGGGCTATTCAGTACTGGCAGAGGAATATGCATATTGGAATGTAACTCTTTGACCTTTTGGAACACGTGTGAACTAAAAGAGCTTCAGATTTTTGCATCAAAATTAACTGCGTGCTTACAAGCTCAAAGCTTTAAGCATAAGTTAGCCTCCATTTAATTTTAATTCCATTGTTCATACATTAACTGTGATTTTGCAAACTGCTCATGTTAGTGCCTAAGGGGAAACAAAAAAATAAACATTTTCTTCCTATTTCATAAATAGGCTGGAAAGAACCTTAAGGATTATCTAGCCTAAGTTCCCCTGCTACGGGCAGGCATGGCACCAACTGATATAGACACGCACGCATGTAAGTATTTCACATATGCATACATTTTCCATATATAAAAATATACCTGGTTCCCACAAATATACCCAACAACGTACCAGGATGCCACACCATTCACATCTCATGCCAGACAGCACCTCAGAAGAGCCACAGGTTTTTTTGCAAACTTCACAACGAGCTCCTGAAGGAAGGTTTCCCTCCCTCCAGTGGTGATGGTAAGTGTCCTGGTAGGAAACATCACAGCTTAGCAGGATTACACCTGACAACAGCTACAGAAACACCTTCAACCTAATTTTAAATGAGTAACTCAAAAACCTCTAAGAAAGCAGATCTGGAGTGTTATTTTTTCACTAAAAGTAAGACCCTCAACAATCTTGTATTTCACAGAAAGAACGTATCAAACTACCCAAACATTTATTACACACTGCTTTGTCTCTGCACTCCACCAGAACTAAACATTCTTAAAGATTGAAAAGTAAGTCCTGGAAGAGCAGTGCTGCACGTGTGTTGGGCAGTGGGAAGTCAGGAAGTCTCATCTCTGACAGACTGCAGGAAGACAGAAATGTCATAATGTTCACCAGGGAACAGCTTACTCTACAGGAAAAACATAATTTCGTACCAACTTCTGCAATGTAAGTATTTAGAAAGATGCCACATATTGGTTTCGGCTTTTAATTAGGACACTGTATACACTGCGCAGACTTTTCAGCAAGAGTTCTGCAAACCTCAAGTTCAACTCACTATCTGCAACACATTCCATAGCCACCAGCTGCAAAACAGCTCTGTTAACTGTCAGCCTGTGCAAATTAAAAAGAAACAAACACCCAGAAAACAAAAAACAAAACGTTCAGGACTCTTGTCTCCCATGCCTCTAGCCCTTATTTTTGCAGTGGAAATGCGTGAGCACTTTCTGCAGCAGACAAACTGACACTTACGTGGTCCTGGTGCCCATCCTGGTGACACTGCCGGCAGTCACTGCAAGCAAACAGGATGCAATCTGTGTGGACATGCAGCTCACAGACTGAAATGATGAAAACAACACAATCAGAGTCTCTCGGCTCCTTCAGCTCCTCTCTTCCTTCCTCCCTCTCTCCTATATCATCTCCAGTACCTTTCTGCAACATATTTTCATCCTTTCACTCTCTCTTCTGTTCAGCAAAGTTAGGCAATAAAAGATTACCAGCACTACCCTGAGTCTGGCTCCGTTTCCTTTGTGTTACATTAATGCAGCAAATGTGAGGAAAGGCTGAGCTAACTTTGCTTGCAATTACTACTTGCCTTTTCATACAGCAAGCTGAATTTGTTGCAACTTGTTTGGCTTATTACAGCTTTGTATCACCTTCTCATGGGAAGAGCTGCCTGCTGTAGTTTTCTCTCTCCTGAAGTCTACCCTGATTTAATCAAATCCAAAAAACTCCATGTTAGAAGCAGGAACAGAAAGTTCTGCATCTGAACATCAAGTATTGAGCCTAATGTAAACTATCTTCCTGAAAGCAAGCTCCAAACCCTTTCCAAACCCAATGGATCCCCAGCAGGTGAGGGGCAGAGCGCAGCGCCCTCAATGCTTCATTTGCTCAGGAAATAAATCCTCTTCATTACTGGATGAGCACTGAATTTTAAACTCATCCAGAAGAAACAGGTACATTCATCTTGGAAATCTGTCTAAGCTATGGCAGCACATTGCAAATCACAGTTTTGTTGTCAGGAAAAGGAAAATGACACTTTTTCTCACAGCTTTCTGTTAAGTAGGCTTCACACCGCCTTCCAAAATACCTGAGATACTTTGGCCAGAAGATTTAGTCAAGCCTGAGTATGTTGGGTAGGTTTCTTTATTTCTTAAAATCTAACTTGATATATCAGATGTGAAAAAAAAGAGTGCATAGGAAGAAAAAAGTTAAAATAGCTAAAAAAAACCCAAACACAAAAAAACAGCTAAAAGACTTCAATATCTAGCTTCTATTGCAAAGAATATCTATTCTATCTATCGCAAAGGCTAGGCCAGGCTTCATTAGGCCTCTAAGGAAGACACACAGATGTATGAAAAAGAAATATTTCTAGCTGCTTTTTAAAGCAGCTTGTCTACATGAGCGCTCTGGAAAGGCATTCAACTTCTTGGTTAAGTACACAAAAGTAAGAGGAAAGAGTCAAGATTCTCCAAGTGTAACTTTTTTCACTGTAAATTGATCCACTGGTGATTGATCCAAGCATGTTGCAACAGTCTGAAGAGTGCAACCTGAAGACTGAAAGGCAGAACTGCAAATGTTATCTATGCTACCAGAAAGCACCCTGAACACAGCATTCCATCTCCTGATGTGTAATACCTCATTTTGAAAGAGCTCTGGAAAAGGTGGTTGCACCAACACTGCGTTACTCCAGCCCTGAAGAAAGCCATCATCTGCCACCACACTGCAGCACAGCCATCTCAATGTTCACGGGCTGTTCTCCTCCTGGGGACTCTCCTGAGCTCAGCAATCTTACCTGAGCTGTGACACAGCTCCTCCTCAGCTCATGCTCCCCCCTAAACCGTGCTTATAGACAGAACAGGCATATTTTACTGCTCAATAAATTCAGCCACTAGGAAAACTAGGTGCTTTGAGTCACAGCTTCGCTAATGGCAAAGGCTTCTGTCGACCAGATTATGGCTTCAAGGAATTAATGAAAACCTTTTCTGTATCATTAACTCTGCTAACACAACCACACACTGCCCTCTGCTACCGTGGGTAAGAATACAGAAGGCTTTAAAATTATTTTCTCCCCTGGTGCTACTGACACCAACCTCCACTCACAATTAGAAAGAAAATGTGTGCATGTGAAGGGCAGGAGCATCAGGGGAGTAAGCCCTTAAGGCAGCAATCCCACTGATGGGAAAGATAAGGCTGTTCACGGTAAAGAGCCATTCCAGTCTGCATGCCTACCAGTACCATCTTTAGCAGCACCTCCATAACCTACACAGCTCTCTAAGTCATAGTGGAAGGTTTTCCGTTCAGCTTTATCATGGAAGTGCTGTGAATGTATTTCAGAAATATCAACTTGATAGGACAACCTTTAAGAAACTACCCAGGCTCCTTAAAAAGATAAACAAAACACACTCACTAAGTAGAAGTTCACAACTTACTGTTCCTGAATGATGCTTGAAAAGAAACTATTACAAAGCAACCAATATTAACAAATGTTTGTGTTGGTCTCCGATTTCCTCTTTTATTTCCATTCCTTTTTGGAAAGGAAAGGAAATGGGACATCCAGCATCCTGAGTCCGGGTTGAAGTTTTTAGTGAATGCTACAGCAAGAACTGTTATTAAAGCAGTTAATAAACGTCAGCAGAGATTGGTTCATGTACTTCATAGGCAAACAAATAAAAAATAAATAAAAATTTGGTATCCAGTCTTAGCAAGAGTTAAGATGCATAGATGCTAGTTTCTGAAAACAGATGCCCTGCCACACAAACACAGTGTTTGTCTGATAACTTTCCTTTAAAAAGAACACAAAACCAAAAAAAGACATTGCAAGGCACAGAGAGCCTAAAGCATCCTTTGCCAATTGTTTTGAAAGTGCATCCAGCCATGTCAGCCTTTTGCTTAGAAAAAGTAACTTCATGTTAGCAGCACTTTCTGCTTTAGTTTCACCAAGTTTTCCAAGAATAATTCTTCACACCTCAACATCAAAGGAGAACATCATAGCCAATAGCAGACTTGTAGCATCAAGCACAGTCACCACAAATCAGCAAGAAAGGAAGCAAGTCTAACATCTACATTTGAAAGCTGATTTCTAAAACAAATTCTAGAATCACTTTTGGAGAGGAAAGAAAGGATTATTTCTTTCCCATAGATGTTATTAATCTCAATAGAGCTACATTTTTGAAAAGGCAAAGAAATAAAAGTTGTAGAGCAATTGGTATTCAGAACACGGAACAGCAAAGTCACACCATGCAAAACAAAAACAATCTGTTGAATCCACTGAACATAATTCAGAATCCTCAGCGAATGAGAAGAAAATGCCTACACATTTGTATTGCCTAACTGTAGTTTAGGTGATTTCACGTGTTTCTTGGAAGCCTCTGAAAAAAACACTCACTTGCAACAGGTACAAAAGTAATACAGTATAATTAGGATTGTAAGAAGGCGGGGGTTGATGAAGGCAAAATGTATAAAGCCTGAAGTAAGACAGATCACTACGCTAACGCTCTTTCCAAGAGTTCAGAAGACACAGCTAGAGAAAGTTTTCTTTCCAAATTCTTGGTTTATTTCATGTCATGCCAGTTTTGAAAGCCATTAACAACAGGTCACGGGAAAAGGCTCTGTGCTATCTGTAGCTCCTTGACCATCGCACCACAGCAGCCAGCTCACACGCAATCTATTCTGAGTGACAGATTCCAATTCGTCAGTAGAACAAATCTTAGATTTGTTATGCAGCTCACCAGATAAAAGCAGAAGCACAAAAAAAAACCCCACCAAAAACAACAAACACGGCATAATTTAAAGTCTACATTCTCTGATCAAAGGGAAACATTTTCCCTACACGTGCACCTAAGTGACTGCATCAAGTAAGACATTATCTGCAGCACAAGACCCATCCTGAAAGCAGCCCAAATCTACCTCAGGAGGCTTTTAAAACATAAAACAAACAACAAAACAAAGCCAGAAAAAAGAACAGTTCACAGCTAGCATTCATTTAAAACACTACATTCTATTGAACCTCAGAACATCGACCTAACGAAGATCAACAGAAGTTTGTGACAAGAGTGTCAGGGGAGAATCCCATCAAAGTCAGTGAAGTACCTGTGCAAAGGTATGTTTCAAATCAGTGAATTATGAAATCATGGTGCTTAGGTGATCTCTTAAATTACTTTTTTTAAGAGAATTTATGGCAGAACACAAAGAGTAGTTCTACTTTGATAAATAATCAGGTTTCTTCCCACAAAAGGCACTTCATTCCCCTTGAAAGCAGCAGACATCCAAGACAAGTAACACACAGTTATATTCCATTCTTCTGTAGAAAGAGGAAGGTTTCAGAAACACAAAAACCTGAAGTTCCATGCAACAAAAAAGAAATTATTTCAACAGAGGAAGTCTTTACTTAGCCATAATAATTTCTCATTCTTTGCATGCCTCTCTCACGTGGACTTACAGCACATCATCAACACCACAGATCTGAGGTGCCTTACATTTTATGCACACATTTCCATTGGCAACGAATGGATAACAGAATCTCAAAAACACAGTGAGGGCATTATGGTACACACTTACATACGTACACATGTGCATGTGGATACACGTGGATGTGCATACGCACAAGCAGGGCATGCAAAGCACTCATCCCTGGATGACATACACACTACTGGACGGCTACACAGATGGAGCATTTTAAATTACCTTCGCATCGAAAGGCGGGTGACTCCAGTGACTTCCTGCACACCGTGCAGAACTTTCTTTTGTAATGCCCCGGAGGCCCAAAACAGTGTGCAACTGGAATCTGTGGAAGAAGAACACATGGAACATCGTCAGCTGCAGCTTTCAGAACAGTATTCATGGCCGACGGAAGCTGCTCTGTCGTGCAAAGCAGGGCAGTATATATAAAGTATGCTTAAGTAAGCCTGAGAACCAATATTATACGTTTATATCTGTATCTACATAAATCTGCACTTGAATATATAAATAAATGACAATAGCTTTAGGTGCGAGTCCTGATGATTCACAGCGCCATGAATGCTAAGACTTCCTCTGTGCTCAAACTTACCTGAAACCTCAGCCGACCTCTTAAGTATTGTTAATTGAATCAAAGACCATTAAACAGTAATAGCTGCACATAGGCGCTCCCAGAGAAAATGCCTTGAAGACACATTCAAGACAGTTTACAAAAGCTCAGTACTGCCACAGTCCATATCAAAGACTGAAAGCTACAGAACCGGGTGGAGGCGGGACAGTGAAAAAAAGAAGAAAAATGAATACTATCACAGCATCCCTGCTCATGACACTGGGACTGGAACTAGATGATCTTTAAGGTCCCTTCCAATCCAAACTGAATCAAAGAACTGATGACTGAATTGTAACTGTGAAACAATTACAACTGCTTACATACATCTCCTTAGACAAAATATTCCAAAGACACATTCAAGACAGTTTGTAAAGGGTGAATGTGGCCACAAAGCATTCTATGATTCTATGAAGGAATACAGCTGAGCTTTATGCTTGTTCCAGAGATCACTATTCCTACAAGATACATACCTTTGCCATTTGCATTACAACAGAGAAGCGTAACTGCATCTCTAAGGTGTCAGAATTCAAATAACTTAGTAACTTTTCAGGTTTTCAAACTTGCATTTTGCAACCCTCAAGCCCTTCCTAACAAACATATCTGGTCTATCTTATTGCTCCTGCATCACAAAAAGAAAAAAAAAAAAAGACTCGTGAGGGCTAACAAGTGGCTTCTTTAAGCATGAATCGTCATCAGTCATTCCCAGAAAAAGCGTAAGAAATAGTGACTTAAGGTGCACATAGCCACAGACACCCTTTCCTACACGATGCACAAGCAAACAAAGTTTTGAGAAGGATTTGAGTATTTCCCTTGCGGAGTTTTCCTGTGAAAAACTAGCAATAAATCTGCCACATCCTGAAACAGAGTTTGGAGACCTAAAATGTCCCGTCCACTGATGGAGGCCTGGTTCCGTCTTCTATTTCTGCCCCTGAAAGCATAGGCACAGTTATGCTAAATAACCCTGTACTCTGAGCACCAACAGTGAAATGAGCAAGATAAAACTGCCAGATGTAACCTGAGAGGGCAAGAATATTGCTGGAAGTTTAATCAAGAGGTAAATCAAGAGAGACCTTTGTTAGCTCAATAACGTGCTTTGGACACCCGGCATGTACTTGCAATCCTTTCAACAACCAGCGTTTGAAATCTAAATCTTCGCTTTCCCAGCCTTGAGTCTGGCTATTTTATCTTACAGTTGGCACAGAAAGGCAGACTTTTAATTCCTGCCACAGTGTTTAATAAGGAAGAAAAGTTATCTGAAGAAGGACACTCCATACATCAAAACAGTTTTGTGCAAAGCAGCGTTTATTTTGGAAAAGACTGCAAGATTGTACTTTGACAAGGGACAAACTTCTCCAGGGCCTGGGCACTCTTACCTAGAAGGCTAAAAGGAAGAAGACAAGCCTAAATTCTGCAGTCTAAGTTCTATTCCAGCCCTGGTGATGACCTTCTAAAGACTCGCGTCAGTGCCCAAAAAGAAAAGAAACACTGATTGGAACGTGGGGTGGGAAAAAGAAAAAAAGAATTGTTTCCTTCAACTTCTTGCTTTCAGAAACAAGAGAAACAAGCTTTTTTTATTATTAGCACTGCTCCTTCTAACTTGCTCTAGAAACTGTATGTACAAAGAAGACTGTAGAGCCTGCAGAAGGAGAGGGATGATGAAAAAACCACCATGGAAAGCAGCCAGTACAACACAAGGAGCCAGCTGATCAATCACACGCTGCTTTTCCTAGCAGCTCACTACATTATTTTTACTGTTGAAGAAGTTCCAAGCATCCGATACCTAAACAATACCAAACTCTTAAGACATGGAAAGCCAGCGAGGCTCCATGTCAGCACATGAAATGTTGTCTATGATTCACTGATTTACATTCACCTGTACGAGTGCAGCAAACTACAGACACAGACAGAGGCTCACAGAAGGGAAGTGAATAATTGATGAGAATCAAAACTTCTTTTTCAATTCAGCTCCTCCAATTACTTTATGCAAACCACTAAGATCAATTTCCTGGGATAGATACAGAAAATTTTGACTAGTGAAGTCACTAAGTGACATCTAGGTGCCCTCACGCTATTGATCAGAAATCCATCAAGAGAAAATATAATACCAACACTCCAGCATAATCTCCAAAATGACCTTGTACTGACGCACAGGATCTTCCTAGGCCTGATTTTGTTTGCTGCCTCCTGGTAAGAAATCCAGAGCATTTCTGCTATGCATTTCTATAGCAGTTTGTATCAGCCAGCAATGAAATTTGATTCTACAGAAATCTAAAGCTTGATTCCTATCCCTTCAGCGCAATTTGTGCAAGAGCAGAGCACAAAACCATGCAACTGCATCATACATAAAGAACAGCAACAAATGCATCTCCAGCAACAAGCTACTGCAAACTTTAGAATAAAAGCACAGGAATTTTTTTTTTAATCTGCTCCTCATCTTGAAATGCATGGGGCAACACCAAGTTGTCAGCTTAACACCTTCTTCCACTGAAATGCAATCCCTGCATAGAGAGCAGCCCAGCTGCCATCTACAACGTATGGCTCACGGACAGAGTCAAAGACACAAACACTTTCACGAGTGCCTCCAAAGGCTGGGGAAAGAGAATTTAACTTGAAGTCATCGGTTTTCAGCTCATTTTTACGATAGGCAAAACTAGCTTGGAAGCAAATTACTTCAAAATTTGCTCTCAAGGCTAGTTTCAGAGGACTGTCCTACAGAGTCAAAACACTGGACTGCTACAGAATGCCAAAAACACTGTCAGTAACAAGCCAGACGTGGAGGTGTTTCTGAAACAACACAACTACACATGCTGACGTTTCCCTATCCAAAGCTCTCAGGGCTCATGCTGATACCCACACCTTTGCTCCACGGCGGTGATCAGATCCGACTGGAACCCATGTCCTCCTCCAGTAGCCACATAAGACCACGCTCTCTCTGAGAGAAGCTAACTTTGCGACTCAGCTTTCTCCAGCGCTAGAATCTTTTCAGCTAATTACTTATTGCTCAGTATCCACAGACAGCTATTTCACTCGCTTGAAGTCTCCCTGCATTAGCAGTGAAATATCTTTATTTCTACAACACTCAGCACTCTGCACTGTATTTCTGCTTCTTCCTTTTAGATACAAAGAACATAAATTACTCTTTGTGTTCAAAATGAGGTTCTTCCTTTGTACTCAACTGCATCAGCTGCTGCTACAAAGCTCCTTCAAGTGCAAATTCCATATGGAAGTTTTGAAAGTGAGTAAGAATACCAACTGAAACAATAACTTACTGTAGATCAGGAGAGAAAAGTAATTTAAACACCGAAACATTAATTGCTGCTAATGAAGCACACATCCACATGTAACCTCAGTATATCCAGAAACCATTTCTTCACGCTACAGATGTCCGTGACAGAACATTAGACCTCAGCTACTCATCTGCAAAGTAGCTCTGAAGGACTCTCAAGGATGGGAACTGCACAGCAAACTAAATACCATTTCTAATCAGGAATCTGTTGTGCTTCTGTTGTACTTCTATGGAAGGAAGATCTGTGTAAGACCTTTGCACTGTAATTAAGAGTTGCTTCCGTTAGCTCTTCTCATGCTGGAAAGAGAAGCTGATGTGCAAAGCACCATCACTCCTCGCTTTTATTGCTACAGTGGAAACTAACTTTTATCAAGATCAGCACTGGGAATTAGCAGAAACAAACTCAGGGACGTTCCATATCCCTTCTGAATCTGAAGGGTCATTGGTGCAGCCATGGGGCTATTCTGGAAGTGTTTAAGCTACCAGGCAGCTTGCACCAGCACTGCACACTGCAGCGAGCGGACCTGGAGTTCATGAACTACAGTGCCAGCCCTCCCCTTTTACCCCAGTGTCTGGCTATCACTTGGGGAAGAGAAAGCAGAAAACTTAGGGCAAGGTAAGGATTACCAATAAACCGTTTTACACCTGCTGCTGAACTGTGGCATGTGGCTGGCATGCTCCAGGCAATTGCATTTGAATCACAATGCAGCTATGGGCCAAGTGTTGAAGAGCTGGGGGTCAGACCTGTTTGCAGAAGGTAGCTGGGCCGTTCAAGAAGCTCCCCGGCAAAATCAGATCAGTCTGGAGTCCAACCATTACTATGGCAGACACAGATACCCAGAGCCACAGACCAACAGTAGAGATCACTGAGTCCCATCCACCTGCTAAATAAAGCAGCTCTCCTACAACAGACCACACAGGTGAAAAAGCACACACATAACTAACAAAGCCTTTCCACTACAGCGAAACAAAAGGGGAAGAATAAAGAGAGAAACAAAATTCCCCCATGCAACTATTTTTCATAAAATGTAAGAAAAATATTAAGCATTCTTTTTTTTTTGCCTTTAATTTCCCGTTGCAGATCTAACTCCTTCCCTCCTTCTTCCAAAAGCACTTACGTACAACAAGATGAATGGGGCAAAAACTCTATTCCAAAAAGGAGACAAAGAAACCGGAGAAAGAGAGGCTGCATCCCAGAATGAAAGCCCCTGAGCTGCAGAAGAAATGGATGCTGCTGTTGTGTGACTACTAAGCACAAAGTGCCCGATTCAGAACAGCTTACACTGTTGGCTGTCGTTACCCTAACCTGAACAATCTTTATTCTCTGCGATTTTCAACTTTCCTAGCAGATTATGAGAAACAAAGGAACTGACCCACACAGCCAATTGCAGGACACAGCACCCAGAGGGAAAGGCTCAGGTCAGCAAGCCTGCTCTTCCAGCACAAACCTCTGTGAGCTCCAAAATCTTCTCGTTCAGAACCACAACTTGAGAATGCAGCTGCTACCCAAGCTCTGAACCACAAGCCACATCTCATTTTTAGCATTACGATCTCCACAAGAAGCTGATGACCCAAATCAGAATGTTTCCACTCCAGGCAACCTGGCCGTAAGAAGAAAAGCACTGAAGGAAGTTTCCTGAAGTCTACCTGCCCTTCCTGAAGTGGAAGTGTTTAGAAACAACTACAGCAATGCATCAATGCAGCCAGGACTGCAGGAAAAACAATCATCACAAATGCCTCATTTCACTACAGCTACTTTTATTATACTATCATTTCCATTTAATTTTAAAGTATAGTTATATAAAAAACACCCCACACATTTATATGGTAAATTTAAGAGGCAACAAACTTGTAACTCATTCCAACCTAACGAAGGAAACTTGACATTTGACACCCACTCAGCTTTTGTTTTCATTTTGTCATTTTGTCCTTTGTTCAGATTTTTCTTTTCCAATGCCTCAAAGTAGGCAAATACCTGCGAGGACATGAGGAGAAGAGTCTGAACTTGGAGGAGTTGCAGAGATCTCAGAGAGTGGAGCAAACCACATCCCTCAGAAATCATAAAAACACAGGTGGGTTCAGAAGCCTGTGATCCGTGACGTTCCATTTCAAAACATCACGATCTGGATCCAATCTGGAACAGCATGTGCAGGTGAGAAAGATCAACAACGGCACAGAAAAAGAACAGCCTCAGGGCCGCCTGGAGAGTGAACTCATCAAGAATGATCTGCGGCTGGATGCAGCCCTGACGCGTTTCTGTCTCTGAGGGCACTCACCCGACCCCAGGAAGGAAGCCCTGGTCTCAGGAATTAAAAGTTTCCATGGCCTGCCTTCTGAAAAACTATTCTCTCATAGTTTGGCATTAATGAATGACACGCAGCACAGTGAGCTTCAACAGTTGCCCCTTTCTCTGGATGAAATCTGAGATTAAAAACAATGCATCTTCGTCTTGGGGTACACAGAATAACAACATGCTAGAGGAAAGCATCAGGGAAAAAAATCCCATCCGTGCTTCCTTCTACATCAGACGCTTCCATAAAAAGACAGATTTGAGTTATCCGATGGAAGAAAACAAACTCCCCAGACATTCGATAAACAATCATCGTTTGTTTTTTGCTTCGTTACATTTTTGAAGCAAGTGCAGAGCTAAAATTCGCTTCAGCAGAGCCCACGTGTGTAACAGCACCTGCCACGGGGCAGGCTTCACTCACACAAGAGACCAGGACCAATGCAACCTGGATGAGTACCTCGAGGAGGACAAGTCTGTGCTATTCTGTCTGGACAGTCTGGTGCTTTTCAGGCATAATCAGTACAACTCAACACAGATTTCAGCACAAGACTTTTCACAGCTAAATACAGCAGTGATAAACTGCCAGCAGCTCCCAGGACAGACACCAGCACTCAGATGTTCTACTCCTGCAGCAAGAACGCCTGGATTTTACCTGTAAAATACAAACAACTAAATACAATCTATGTTAGGACAGGTAGAAAGCGGGGATTGGCAAGGGAAAAAATCATAAGCTGATGTCCATGACTGACGCAGTGTTTAAATGTAGGATTTTCACCATGCGAAAGCAAAGCAAGAAATATTATTTTGAACAACTAAAATCTACAGTAATTCACAAAAGAAACAATCACAACAAGGTGGTTTAAACGCCTATGAAAAAAGATGAATGCTTCTCAGCTGGCTATGTACCACTCCTCCAAAGATCCCTGCACAGTCTGAGTCATCACTCCTTTTCCCATGCTACAATGACTGACTGCCAGCATTCTGAAACAGCAAGGGATGCTCATTCTTAGTAATAGCATTTCCACAGCATTTGCTGTGGATTCTAAGACTAACAGCAATATTTCTCATTATTCCACTGGCAATGTTGTGGGTCAGACTTCTTTTTTTTTTTTTTTGCCAATCTAAATTACATTTCCCAAGACAAAAGCGTGTGGGGAAGATGAAGTGTGCAGCAAAGGCTGAACTGCATTAACATCTAGGGCAAAGCACATTAAATAACAATGACTGGCTAACTTCCTGTAACTCTAGTGATGTGCTGTTTTAAACCTCCCATCCCCTAACCAGGTTTCCACAATGCAAAGAAACCTGTAATGCTTTTTTTTTGTGTACGAAGAAGGGAATGCAGCTTCCCTTGACAAGTTCACAGATCTGCGTAGTAGTGAATATCTCACAACTCTGTTTCCAGTCAGGGAGGTCTGTAACGTCCACAGTTTCTGCATTCTGATTTTACAACACTGCAACTGACATCTGCTCCTTATAATACTTTGTAATGTTTTTCCCCTTGTATAAGCAGGTTCTCGCCTGCTTCCTCCCTTCTACCCTTTCTGTCACCCCTTCCCAAGTGGAGAAAACACTATTTTCTCCTCATTTTAGACTCTTAATACTACAGTTGCATAATATTATCATCTTCAAAATTAGTCTATCTTTCAAACCGTTTTTCAAGACCAATTATTACAAAGTTGTGTGGGAGAAAAACTCACAGGGCATCTAAAAAGCCAAGATTTTATTATTAGCCAAAATAAACCCATGTGAATTTTTACCATTTAGTGAAGCCCTGATTTGACTTTAAAATGTTGTGCTTTTAATGCAAGGACTTTATTCTCTAGGCACAGTAAGCAAGCAAGTTCTTAACATTGGTAATCAACAGAAGCCAAACACAGCCCCTTCACTAGGCAGGGAAACTTAGCATTTTCCCAGTGAGATGTAATTACTGTTAAAAAAAAAGTGAGTTATACAGAGTTCTTTAAGTTTGATACGCCATGGTTTCCTGAGAGCACTGATATCCATCAGGCACCCCCATCCATTGCTGTGAGATTTCCAGGTAATGACACAATTTAAAATGTCTAGTAATAGTTAAAGAATGCAAATAATTGCTCTTCAAAGACAGACTGTCTACAGCCTCCTGCAGCAGGGAAGTTTTCAAGGAAATGTCAGACTTTGCCTCTGAACAGCAGCGAAAGCTTCAGTGATGACTAACACAATTGATTTAAGCATTACAACATCAGCAAGCCACAGCCATACTACACAGATTACTTAGTGATAAATTTGTGCCATTATGACAACAAAGAGACATAAAAGTGTGTGCTTACTCACCCTTACAAGGCTGGGAGCAATACATGAACAAGGTATGTTGACATTCTTGAGGCACTTCTCGTGGGACATGAAGTTGCAAACTGTGGAGATCAAAGAACAGCGGGTGAGTCTCCCACGAGGAAGGGACATTCGTGGTGAGACACAAACAAACAGGAAATCAAACAAAAAAAATCACGTGTGGTGAAACACAACTGGGATCATTTCCATCGCATTTGCTCTCCTCCAGCTACGAGTACTTACACAACTGTCGTATCTCTTGCAGCACATGAACTTCAACCAGTTTTGTTACCAAAAATGCTGGTGATAGAAAGCAAGAGAGCTCATACAAATTCATTACATGCCAGCAGCAGCCCCTTCTCACCCACCCTCTCCTCTCCATAACCACCAAAATTATTTCTTAAATTTCAGGTGAGATTTTAAGCAGCTGACAGTCCAAAACGGCTCTTTGAAGTAGCCAAAGTAGATGGACATGCTTGAAAGCAAACTCCACTGAAATTAAGTGCATGTGTCAGGAATAAATGGAAGGAAACACAGCACTGGCACACACAGAATGCAATGGATGAAAGAGACAAAAGTCACCAGGTTTTTGTACAGCTTTGAAAGTCGAGAGTTTCTTCTTATTAATTATTACTGCTACCACTACTATTACTACTTGTGCATCAACAGGTCTAGAATTTCATTGGAGCTTTACTAAATGTCTTGTCAAGCAGTGATGGCTTTAGAGCCCTCCACCTCTCAGACTGGCTCTTCCAATCCAAGCAGAAATATATGCAGCTCAGGAGGAAGCACCTTCCCATGACTTCTGAAAGAAGATCACTTCTGAGCAGCAAAAGCCACCATCCACAGGAAGTTTTCTCATGTCCCTGCTTTTCAGAAGCATGCCACACCACTTCATGTTCCATGAGTTACTGCAAAAGACCAACTCTTCTGCAGCACCATGTGTTGCACTTACACTGCTGTTCCTTGCAGCATGTGCTCTTGCCATCAAAAGCAGACCACTTCCTTCTCCTCTCCCTTCTGCAGCTCATTTCCTTCTGATTTCACTTTTTCTCACATGCCAAGATAGTAATCTTAATGCAGGTTCACTTATTTATGTGGCTTACTGCCAGTCCATGCAAATAACCTTTCCTTTTGATGGCACAAAAACCTGAACGACCCCTTTCATGTTCCAATGTGCTCAGCAGGCTGACATTTGCTTTTCACTTGTCTGCAAGTCAGGGAAAAAAAAAAAGGGCTCTGCAAGGCACTGCTGCGCTGAGACATTCACTATTGGTGGCTCAAGACTGTGACCTATGCAGCAATGAAAAGGGAGTGGAAAGAGAGGAGATAAAACCTGCTGTTGGCTGCTATGAAGCATCACATCTACCTTTACGGTTGATGGTACTCCTGACTCAGTGGTACAGATAAGGAGCAGAAAGAATCAGCAAAGAAGTGATCTTAGGGAAGCTGAAAAATGAAAGGCTAGTAAGGGAAATCAGCTAGAAGACACAAAACTTTGAGGGAAAAACAAAAAAACCAACAACCATTTAAAAGGAAAGGAAGAAGTAGTCTGTTCTATAGGAAGAGGATTCCTTTGTGTGTTAGCTCTGGGCACCTAACTACACCCAGGCGTACAGCAGCTATTTGACAGCTTGTCCTTGTTGCTTTACTCTCTTCTGCCCAGAAATTGGCGACTTCAACCACATGAGAAATTGCATGTTTGCAACACACAGCAAGAAGCCAGGTGGCCAGTGGGCACCATGGAAAAGGGCAGCGTATGGCAATGAGCTGGGACGTGCAGCTTTGCAGCAAACACTTGCAAGGAAACAAAACATTTCTTCCCTGCCTTGCACAGCAGGAGACAGGAGCTGAGCACTGCAGTTTAGCAAAGGCGGCTGAAACCTCTAACATGCTGCACTTTGTCACACAGCCTTTTTTCCCCTCCCTGTCCTTCAGTCAGAATTCAGAGCAGGTTTCAAAACTGGGATGAGGAAAGAGGTCTATTTTGTCCTGCACAGACTCCAGCAATGTATCAGTGTGCCATATGCAAGTGAAGGCCAGGTGAGAATCATACAAAATGCCAAATTCCACAACCTACCTTCTCCCACTTGTGAACAGAACACAGTCTGGAGCAGAATCCCAGAAGGTTTTGAAAAGTACTTTTGTTTCTTCTTTGAGGAGATGTTTAACATAACTCAAAGTCCTGTGATCTTTTTAAAATCGAATGTATAAATTATGAACTTAATAGTCTTTCACTTCTTAACTTTAACAGTATTATTTATAAGTATCTGGTTTTGCATTTGCTAAATGTGAAAATGTTTAGCACTTACAGCTCTAAAAGTAAGGATTCCAAATTGCTCCCCCAAAGAGGATCAAGGAAAGTCAATATAAAGGCTCAAGTGGACTGGCTCCTCTCCTGGAAGTGTTATAAATCTAACTCAAGGCTCCCTGGACCTGCTCACACGTGTGTTTGTACCCAAGAGCATTCCTCTCATTTCAGCAGGCACACACTTAATAAAAGCACAACCAAAGCAAATTTCAATTCCCCCACCAAGCACACCCTCCAGTGCTTCCTTGAAGCAGGGCTTACCCTAACAGTTCCTAGACTGCAGTTTGGACCCATCCAGGCAGTCTGCCCCTGCACTCTCATGTCCCAGATTCACGTCACAAGCAGCAGTAATTGGTAACGATCTCTTCCTTTTCAGCAGCTCCCTCTCGCTGTGCGCTCCTGCCTGGTTTGAGCCATGGGTTTTGCAGCGCATGGTGCCCTAGGAGCCATCAGCCTTCCTGCTGCACATAGCAGGTCAGGCTGAGCACCAGCAGAGAGACCTCGTGCATGCGAAGGCAGCAGCACCTTCCTGCTGCAGGGAGCTCTCTCAACGCTGCCCTGAACGCAAAAGGCACCCACAGCAAGTGCCAGTAATTCCCGAAAAACACCACGACGCCTTGGCCAGCTGTCTGTCACAGGGACAGCATGGGGAGGGTTCATTTCCCATCGTGAAGTGGCAACACAACTCCTCAGTGCTGGCTGGGTGGCTCAGGAAATCGTTTCCTTTCCTTCTGCACAAGTGCCATAGTTCACTAGCTCGCACTCTGCTTACCTGAGCAAGTCACAGCCCTACACCAAAGCTTCTTCCAAACTTTTAGCAACGCTTACAGATGATTGACTCAATGGCTTATTCTTGTCCTTAAAACAAACAATAGCTTAGCCACAAATGGACTAGAAACTAGAAACTAGATTGTTTTCTTAGCTATCAGCACACAAGCTTTTCATTTCCAGAAAAATTTAAGTGCAAAGCATTAAAGCCCATACTCAACTCATTACTGTGATTATAAATAAAACTAAATGAAAAGAGATAATTCTCTGGGGCATCCTGTTAAATTTAGGCCTTGGAAGAAATCTGTTTCAGAGGGTTTACAGCATTGTATTGCCTGACAGCTGTAAGAGTGCAGCACAAATGGAAACTCTGCATTCCCCTACAAAAAAAAGAATCGCACAGATAACTTTTGTGTGAAATAAAACCTGCTCCATAAGGCAGGTGTGCTCAGGGTGTGGGAGGCTAAGCCCTTCTTAAAAATCTGGTGTTGCATGAAGCTGTTAGCAACCTGCCAGCACCTAGCTGCTGCTCACAGACGGTGCACGTGAACTGAGCTGCTGCAGTGGCACGGAGCTGGCCCTTCCTCACAACTTCTTGCTTTCACTTAGGCTTTTTTTGGACAACTACACACTGAGATCGTTTCCCCAGGCTTGTTACTACAGCTTTAACTTCATTTATCGCCTGGTCTGTACTGTCGGGTTTGCTCGAGGCTCACCCCCTTGTAAGAACATTCTTCCCCCTTCATGTGCTCCACAGTTATCAACGGCTGGGAATAAAATTTAGAGAAAAATTAACTCACTCAAAAGGTCTCCTGCAACACTCAGCAATTAGTGTCCATTTTAAACTCAGCTCACCACTGTCCTTGTACTGGTGCTGGTGGGAAACTTGAACAGCACTGGTTAGTGTCAGGAAACTACTCTGATCAAGTTCACTGTTTGCCTTTACCATCCAAAAGCAGGCCTGTAGTTCATGTTGCTTTATTTCAGCATCTCACACATCCCCAGTGCCAGCTTTCAGCTCTAGAGAGGTCCTTCCCATCTGTAGTATCCTGGTTACATCCGTCTCTGTCTTCTGGTCAGATGTTCAGACAAGCGAGACAAAGAAAAGATTGTGCTTACAGCAAACTGACTCTGGCATTACAGCACTCTTTGCCTGGTCCTACAGTTCCACCTGTGTGAGGATACCACCGCCGTTGGGCGGACTGAGAATCATCACCTACATTTTCTGGAACGTATGGAAAAATGTGCAGGACGAAAAAAAAAAGATGCTTCTACTAGTTTCAATTGTAGAATTGCAACAATAGAACTGCAATTGCAGTTTTTGTCCAACAGCAGGTGTTACAGGTGATACCCACCTAAACACGTCCTCCTGCAAAGGATGAAACAGTAGATGGGGAAAAATGGGGGAAGTCCTCAGCCATTAACTCAAGTGCAAGTTTACTCTTTCTACTCTGGAACTGGAATGTGTTGCTCTCAGGTTTTAGACTTGAGTTCTGATGCACTCATTTTAAAAACTAAGCACATTTAGAAATATACACCTGCATTAGATGTAGGTTGTACACCTTCCACATTCATCCTACTGCAGCACAACCCAAGATTCTTCCTCTTCCTTCCTTAAGGTCATCATTGCACACTACATACCAGACAAAACTCATCTCTACTTTAAGTTTTCTTTCCCCACCTGAGCAGATCCCATCAGCCACCTTCAGAGGCACTTGATGTTGTCTGAAAAAAGACACCACAGGGCCACTTTGAAGGCAGCCTGCACTAGTGGACAAACTGGACAGGTGTCCAACAACATAAATACTTCCTTTGAATGGACACCATTATTACAAACCTTTGTTCTGGACAGCAGCAACTTTAAAAAGGCACCAATAATCCGAAACAAGAGTGAGTACTTGAAGTGGCCTATGCTACCTCAAGCCAACACTGCAACTATTCTCTAACTGCAGGCATTTATTAAGAGTCCTTCAGAATTATAAAACATTCTCCAACTCCA